ACTACTTAATGACCAATTAAAAATTAAAGTTATTGGAATAGATAGGGCACATTTACAATATTTTAATAACATGAAGTTATTAAAACACATTTTATCAGAAGTCTTAGTTGTAAATAAAATTGGTGTTACTAAAACATATAACTCTTTGTGCAAATCAGGTTACCAGTATTTTTTCCTATTACTAAGAAATTTAATAATATTTAAATTTCGATAATTAATATTTGCCCACGGAACCCCTAGACTTCTTTCGGGGAGTCTTAGGGTTCCACGGAGCACAGTTTGAGAATCGCTGAACTAGATGATTTCCGCAATTATTAATTGCGAATTACAGTACTAGGAATATCTTGAGATATTATTTATATATTAATGAATACACTCTTTATACATAATAAAAACTGTTTGAATATAATTTTATTTATTTATTTATTTTATAATTATGACGCCCGCTAGGCCAAACGAGTACAGTAGATATATATATTTAACATAGGTAAGTAGTATAAATATATGGTATTTAACTAATGAGCAAATAATAATGATTTAAATTTATAACAAAGAAAAAAATCGAAATCAAGTAGGTGTTCATTACTATATCGTAAAATTCTATGTATGGTGCTATGGGTAACAAAATTACGTTTACTGAATACAATATGAAATAATGTGTTTTTTTCTAGTATTGACCTGTGTGACTCTAACTCTAAGGCTCAATAGCTCAGAGCAGCTTATAGTTTCGTTTAATAATTAGTATAAAAATAGACAATCATTATAATCGAGTATATTTGCTAGAGGGAATATTTTATACTGTCTCTCGACTTCGACAATAGGTAGTCCGTGTAAATTTGATTTAAAGGCAATCATCCTAATGAAATTCCTATGTGTTTTATCAATTTTATCAATCAAGCCTATTTGGCGAGGGTTCCGAACTAACGAACCGCTCTCCAAGACAGGGCGTACTAATGAGAGATATAAACATTTTAGACACTTAATATTCATATCGGTGCAGTTTCGTTTTATATAACCTAAAATTCAGAAGGCTTCTGCACAGATTTCTATGTGTTGTTTGAAACTGATATCATACCAATATTATAGGAAGGTCTTTCGTATCATTTACAACATTAATTTTGGAGCCGACTAGGTTATAATGGTAAAATATGATAGAGCGTTTGCGATGAAATGATATTTGCATACATTTATTCATATTTAAATGTAATCCGTTATTTAAGCACCATAATAAAATCGATCAAGATCTTGTTGTAGTTTTGAGCAATAATTTATGTGGTTAACTGTAGAGTATATTTTTATGTCATCAGAAAACAATAAGAATTGGCTATATTTATATAATTTATTAATGTCATTTATGAACACTAAAAATAAGAAAATGTAGTAAGTTACCGCCTTTTGTCACTCCAGATGACACTAACAATGGTTTGGACTTAGCATTGGGAATTTTTATTATTTGAGTGTGTTCAAGTAAATGGGATAACAATCAGGATAATATGATACCATATATGCCTACATTTTTTAGCTTGTGAATTAAGATTTGGTGATTAACTGAATTGAATGTTTTTTTAAATCAGCGTATATAGCGTTAACTTGGCTACCGTTAGTTACAGAATTTACTGAGTGAGAGTAAAAAACAACCAGGTTAGCAGGGACGACTACAGGGGGGGCTAGGAGCCGTGGCCTCCCAAACCCATACCGTATTTATAAAAAAATTTATATTGTTAACAAAAAATGCATATTATAATATGGACTATCATAGGATACGCACAAGTATGTAGATAGAGCCATAGAGGTTAGTTTAAAGGAGTTTCTCCACACTTTGGAGACCTGGCTTCGTTCAAGGATGACTGAAGATAGATTATCAGCATTATGTTTAATTAATGTATATCATAAAGCAGATATTCTAGATCAAATAGATCATATTATTGATATTTTTGCCAATTTTAAAAATAGACGACTTGAATTTATGTTGTATAAATTGTTGTTTTCTTTTTGTAATAAGATTTTGTAAAATTATAACTTGGCCCCCCCCCCCCTAACCAAGGCTCTGGAGCCGTCCCTGCAGGTTAGTTTCTATAGATTTCGATTCTCTTAAGCCATGTTGATTATCAATAAAAAAATATGTTTAAATATATATTTGTTCTACTAGTTACATAACAGTAGATATAACAAGTGCCGATGACAATATTTTCATTATTATTATATCCTCAAAAAAAACTTTCAAAAAGTAAAAAAAACGCCAAGCTCAAAATTAGAACTATTATATTCTTGCAACGAAATAAAACCTGTCTAAAAAATGCACTGATATCAACATTATCCAAGCTTTTAATTTACGAGGTACTTTAACTATTTCTCTAAACTTCTCTCTTTTCTCCTTAGTTATATGGTAAATATTATCTTTGTACCTGTTTTGTTTCAATATTACTATCCAATTCTTGGCGGCTGATTTTAATATTGATGCTTGCCTAATATGTATTTTAAATAATTACATTTATATATCAGCCGTCAAAAATTGAATAGTGATATTGAAACAAAACAGATACAAAGATAATATTCATAACTAAGGAGAAAAGAGAGAAGTTTAGAGAAATAGTTAAAGTACTTCGTAAATTAAAAGCTTGAATAATGTTGATATCAGTGCATTTATTGGACAGGTATTTTTTCGTTGCAAGAACAATACTCGTACATTGAAAACATTTAATAATTTAAAAAGAAAACCTCAACAAATAAAATAAAGTTTTATACATGGTTTATACATATTATATATTTATAAAAAATTGTACTCAATATTCCCTTTTGATTAAATGTATCACAATTAATGTGATTATTTACTATTGCGGAAACTACTAAATAAATAATATCAGAAGAAAATAATAATGTGTATTAAAATACTCAATGTAAATGATAATGAGAAAAATAAACCATGAAGTGTCATACTAGATTAACATTATCATTGTGTAAATTTGGGAATAGTAAATTAATGATTCTAATTCGTTATTTGTTATATCAAAAAAAAAAAAAAAAAAAAATTAGCAAATAATTCACCAACCTCTAATAATTCTAAAATATAATGTTTCAGGGTGTATTAATCTGTTTATCTTCAAGAAAACATATTTTTTTAGATTTAACATTTTTTTTAAAGTTTTTAACGAAAGTGTTATAAAATATATAATATCTAATTTTATAAGTATTGGTATACATAACATATATTATCAAACTATTTAAAATAATTTCGCTAAAACAATATTAATAATAAGGAGAGTAGTTAGTATTTTGATTAGAAGTAAAATGTATTATAATAAATTAAAATATGAACTATAAATGCTGTTTACATTAGTTGACAATAATTTTAATCTAGACTTTTTATACGTTTATACTTATTAGTCATCGTTGTGTAATTTATCTGGTTTATATTATTTAATAATACTATTATACTAATGATTACATAAATTTATCACTTTTAAAGAATTAAACATGAGTATTATTAATGGTAAATGTGGGTGTGTACTGTGTTGAGTAGTCAATAGTTAGTGTGATTTCTTCGCACTATATCTCTCCTATGAAACACCATGCCAACAATACCACACACGGCGCAATCCATGAACTAAATAGTTCATAACTATAATGGACTGAAAAAAATGTAATTCAAATATTTCATCGTATTTTTTCAACCATTACACTACATTTTTTTTAAAAATATTTAAGCCATCTATTTTTATGTTCTGTATTTTTTTTTATATTTTTCAATAAAATACAAATAATATTCAAACTCAAATTGTAGTAGGAAGTTGCATCTATGGAAGAAATGGTAGAAAATGTTGATTTTGATTAGTCGATAAGAACGTTTGAATGAAAAAAGAAAATAAAGGGTTAATATTTTTATTCGTTCTGCCAAATGATTTGGTCAGTTAAAGTTATCTTTGTTAATTATTTGCACGTGTACAATCTACGTTTATGTAAAAAAACAAATATTTGGGATCATAGGTTTTTGACTTCTAACTATAAGGTCGCATGTATAGAATATTATGTTATGAAAAAATTACTGGGTACTTAAAAATAGAAAGCTTTTCTGTAATATTGTTGACAATCGTGCCCAACGGTTGACATATGTATGTATGTATGTACATAAAGATAATTTTCACTATTCATTATACATATATATTAACGTAGAGATTTTAAGCCATATGGTAACAGGATAACTTTTCTTTTACGCGGGTAATCGAGCGATGAAAAAATCATCTGAATGCTTTTGTCTCTGGTATTTAAATTTTGATGTTGAGTTATGATTTTGAAAAAAAATTGGTGGCCATAATAATTTATATGCATTTCAAATGTTAAATTTAAACAATTTAAAAAGTTTTCAGAATTATTAGGATTTAACACAAATTTAAAAAATAAATCGAATTATTATTTACTGTAAATTTATAATAATTTCTATTTTGAAATTAATGTTTTCAACAATATTGTTTTTATTTTAATTATAGCTTATGTGTCGGAGCTCAATTCTATTTTGGCAAAAAAAGGAGCAGTAAGTATACAATATATTTTTATTTAAAAATACCATTATTAGAACTTTGTTGTTATAGAAAATTATAAATTAATTTTAGCAGTTGCATATTTATTATTAATAGTTATGCAATGTAAGTATTACATTTTAATGAGTATCTTATTTCATTTTAAATATAATGATTCTCTTTTAGGAATAAAACCATTTTTACCGGTCTTAATTTACATAGTTTAAAAGTAATCGAAGAATGATTTGTTAAAAATAAATTATTTTTACATTTTATCATGTCCTTCGGTTTCATTCTTAAAATTTAAAGATTTTATAAATACAAAAGAAACCATGATGAATCCGTGACTCGTGTTTTTTCAAACTCATCGGTTACGTCTACGTTATTTGGCATCGTTACAACTTCTGGCACCATTGGATATGAGGGTTTGGGCCATTAAAATCTTTACATTTCGGTTCGATTCGTGCTGTGTCGGTCTGTGACTTGTGCCAGAGACGGAAATTAGCTTGAAAGATCATTCTAACGTATTATTATCACAGAAATGTACAAACAGTCTGTTCCGACGCGAGTAACTGTTCGCATCATTCTATATTCACCAGCGTTCGCGTCCGCGTACACGTGTCATCAGCTATAATTATGGTATTTTTTTGATAGTTTTTGTATCATGGTATTAAAATGTCAACATATTGTCGTATTACTGGCAGGAGCCGTGGTTTACCAAAACCAAATTATTTTCCATTGCTTCCACCAATCTCGCCGGCTGATGCAAAACGATTTTGTCGCATAACCGGAAAGTCATATGGATTACCAGCACATCATTACATACCGGTTTTGGTCGGTCGGAAAAAAACAAAATCCGAAGTTAAACATGTAGTAATAAATGGATACCGGTATGTATTTCCAATAATAGATCAATGCTCCGAGCTATCTGAGGTGTTAAAAACCAAATGCACAGCTGATGATCGGAAGTATGTGTACGCGGTGGATAAACGTAGGTGTAGTCTTGTTTTTCCAACTAGTTTAGAGAACGCAGTTAGGGATGGAGACGTTAAAGATGTAATGATGTCAGAAACTAACGACACGGTGCTTCTTAAATTGCGTAAAGGGGAAACTGTCGAGTTAGACATCAAAGTTATGGAAATAAAGGGAATGACGTTGATGGAAGGTGAAGGGTTTCGGAACAGGCCAAAAAAAAGAAAAACCGTCAAGGAAGATTGGAGAAGGAAAATATTCGAAGATAAAGAAAAAGAAAGTGATGCCGAGTTAGTGGATGAAGAACTTAAATCTAAACGAATAACATTTTTGGCTAGTCAAGGGAAACAATTTGAATCTATTAAGTCTGTACCAACTGTTATGAATGGTAAATCTTTATGTGTTACAAAAATCAAAAATATTGTCAAACCATCTACAGCTAGTATAATAGTCGAAGATAATAATAACAATTTAAAACTTCAAACTGATATATTACCCACTCCGATCTCAATCGAACCAAATATAATAGATCTCAGCTCTGCATTTCCTGGAGTAATACATCAAACTTTTCTTAACGATATACCACTTACTGATTTACCGATGGTACCAGTAATATCACCTATAAAACCACTGATTACAAACTTTAATAAGATTCCGAAAATTATACCGGACCCTGTTTTATGTACGATTGAAGAAACATTAATCAATGATAATATAAATAAATTATTGACTCTTAGTGACATTAATTTATTGATGGAAAATATTAAATTAGGCACTCACGAAATAATTTCTACATGTCAAGGCACTACTAAAATATTCAAAATAAACATTCAAAATACTGAAAAATATGTTCCTGGTCAATTTGTAAAAACTGAAGACGGTGAAAAGTTTGTACCTGGTAAAATTATCGATACAACTAATGGTAAACTATTCGTGCACGGTATTATGGTTCAAACGTCAGACGGGCTAAAATTCCTTCCTGGAAAAATTATTGAAGATTCTGAAAAATGTACTTTTGTTGTTGGCCAAAATATTGTCACAAGAGAAGGAGAATCATTTGTTCCGGGTCAATCAATGTTGATAGAAGGAGAAAAAAAATTTGTTCCCGGACAAACAGTTATTACTTCGGAAGGTATTGGATTTGTTGCTGGTCAAACAGTCAACAGTGGTAATGAATCCCATTTTATTCCTGGGCAGACTATTATGACAATTCATGGGCCACAATTCGTACCTGGGCAATTTTGGATTGATGATAATATTGAACCTACTCCAGAACAAAGTATTCTTAAAAACGATGGTGTTGAATTTATTCCCGGACAAAGTAGGTTAAATAATAATGGTGAATGGGAATTTATTCCCGGTGTTCGTGTTGGATCTTCTTTCGTACCAGGATTAACAATCATTGAGGATAACAAAAAAGAATTTATTCCTGGAAGAATAGAAAAAAGTAATGATTGTACTTCTTTTATACCAGGTATAACTACTTTAGATAATAATGGAAATACAAAATTTGTAATTGGAATAAGCATAGAAACCGAACAAGGAGTAAAATTTGTTACTGGAAATATCTTAACAGACAACTGTGGCAACAAGCAATTTATTTTAGGACAAATGTCAAATTCGGAAAATGGTTCAACTAGTTTTATTAAAGCAAAATCATTACAAGAAGTTATTTGTTCTGATGAAGTACAATCTGGAATTTTGACAAACGATTCATTTTACCCAAAAGATGAAAAATCCGATGAAGTTTTTGGACACATGGTTCAAACTCTTTATGGGGTAGAATTTTATCCTGGAGATCCAGTAGGTTTACCGGCTGGTAAAATAGTTTCTGGAAAATTAATTCGAAACAATGGTATAAGATTCGTTCCAGGTGTTGTGGTCGATAAAACATTTATACCTGGACAAATGGTGGTGACAGATAAAGGAGAACAGTTTGTACCAGGACAAGTGATTGAAACGCAAACGGGACCTAAATTTGTTCCAGGTCAAGTTGTAGAAACAGAAACGGGTTCAAAATTTGTACCAGGGCAAACTATAGAGACCAAAGATGGAATTAAATTTGTTCCAGGTCAGATAGTAGAAACAAAAGCTGGTCCGACTTTTATACCGGGACAGGTCATTTATACAGATGAAGAAGGATCTAGGTTTGTACCGGGACAAGTTGTTGATACAATAGAAGGGCCAAGATTTGTTCCCGGAAGAGTAATAGAAACAGGTGATTGTGTAACTTTTGTACCGGGTCAAGTAGTTGAAACCATGAAAGGCTTAAGATTTATTGCACCAGATCTTCAAGATTCAGATGATGGTAGTTGTGAATTTAGTGTACAAGGATTTGAAGTCACACCAGAAGAACTTAAAGTTATTCAACCTAATTTTCCTCAAACCTCATATTATACACAGAATGGTGAAATGACTTTAGATTCAAAAATGCTTGAACAATTATCGTTAGCGGGAATGAGTATTGGAAGACAAGTTCCAGCTGAACTTCCAGAAGTTGATGTCAGTACTTTACCATCAATGGAAATTGCTTATGATGTTGCAGAAAAACTAGAATTTAATAATGACAATACAATTAAACTAGCACATATAATTAATCGATTATGTAAATTGGATTTAAAACGTACATACTATGGATCACCACTTGTCCAAGATTTAATAAAAAAATTGCCGCAGACCAAATCTAATGAGAGAGTTGCTGAAGTCATAGAAAATCTACTTAAAACTGCTAAATCGAGTCCTATAACTGCTTTAAATGAAATATATGCCGTGATTTTTGACGAAAGTTTTATAACAGATTTAAAAAACCCAAACAAAATTAATATTTTGAAAGGAATAATGAATAGTACACAACTTGAATCAAAACATATTGCTTCAGCATTTAGCGAAATATTAAGTGATTCAGAAGATGCTAAATTACGTTCAGCATTTGAACATATAGCAGAAGAAAATATAGAATTATTAAAAGAAGTAAAATTAAAAATCAACATGGAAAAAGTGCACAGTGAAAAAGAAGCTATTGAAGCATTGCAATGGGCAATCGTTAATGTCATTAATAAAAATAGTGAAATTTCTGTCAACCAAATGTTAAAAGATAGTAAAAGTGAACAATTTAATCGTTTATTATCTGATGCAGTTGGTCTCGCCAAAGCATTAGGAATGAAAGAAGTAGCTGCAGTACTTATGGACGTTTTAGATGATCGGAGATCAGCTGACATATTAGCATCTGATAAAATAACAATAGAAATCTTAAGAAGATTAACTGTAATGAGAAAATTAGCAGAAAGGCGACCAGAATTCAGTAAAACTCTAAACGGAATGTCTGCTGACCCAATCGAAGCCAGAATGGACCCTAAATTACGTGAACTAGTCAGAGAAAGTGGAGTTTTATTACTTCCTCCAGAAACAAATGTCGAAACATCTTTTGATGTTCCTGTTGAATTATTTAGTCCTGGAAATAGTTTAGCTATGGAAGATTTTATGGTTAAATCAAGAAAAATGGGAATTTTACTTATAATTAAAAATGGACTTCAAGCAGTAGTACCACGAGAAGCAGCTAGGTCAGTGTTAACAGGACAAGTTGCATACTCCGTTTTGGATGAAAAAGGAATCCATAAATTTAAACCGATGAATGTATTAGATGCTTTAAATCTTCGATCATTTAGTTTAGGAAGATATTCAATGTATAGTTGTGCAATACAAAAATCACTTACCGAAGATGAAGGAACTATTACTCGTGGTAGTTCAATTAGTTTGGATGATAAAACATTAACTAATGAAGAGGTTAAATATTGAACTTAAAATAGTATATTTAAAATTAATATTATTATACCTATATAAATAATCTAAAAAATGTAATTACTATACTTACAGGGTGGAGGAGATGAATATGAAGTTCTTCAAGACTACGAAGCAGAACCAGTTGAGGGTGCAGATAAAGAAGATGAATTGATTTTAGAACCAGGAGACAAAGTAGTTGTGTTAAAACAATCAAAAGATGATCCGTCAATGTAAGTTAATTTGTTTCAAATTATTCCAATGAGTCGAAGCCTTTAGTTTTTGTTGTTATACAAATTGAAACTTTTTATAATGTATAGTAATATCAAAAATAAAATGTTTTGAATTTAAATAGATTTAAACAGAGTACAACATTATATGTATAATAATTATTTTGCAATTAAATGGGACTGCCAAAAATAATCAAATCATGAATGTACTATCACAGGAGTTTGTTGATAAAAAATATGAACCTACGATTGTTTTTTTGGCAAGTGCATGTATTGTCCGCAGATATTACAAATCGAGTTTATTTATTTGAGGTTGAGTGACTTGAGGCCGATGAACAGCCTATAATTAGAGAATTTCTGGCCGCAATTTTAAAACTGTCAAATCACGATTGGTCTACCGAATACTGTGAAGGCCAATGTTGTTTTCTATGTAGGGATTCTAAGCATGTTTTACATATAATTTTTTATCAGGGGCAACGAGTTAAAACGAAATTTACTGTTGGACAATTCAGCAGCCAAACATAAAATATCAGTACGACCAAATAAAGTACATCCAACCAAACATAAACTCTTGAAAACGGATGGGTAAAAAAGTTCATTAATTGAATCTCCTGGCTTATGGTGCTATATATTTGCTTTATGCTGGTTTTTATTGTTAGTAATTAATATAATATGATGTTATGCTTTATTGAAATATTGTAGTGTTGATGTTTTTACAGCTTTTGTGTTTTGAATTTATTCCTTTGAGTATTTAGAAATAATTAAGAAACAAAATAATCAGACTTTTTTTTTGGTTGATTTGTTGTAAATACGTTATGTTGTATTATGTATTTTTAAGTCTCTGACAGTGTAAACCTGACAGCTTAACATTTTTTAAATCATCGGCTTACTTGGTATTTATAATTAAATTAAAATGGTGATCCATTAAATGACGAAAATTGAAATATTTTTTGAAATAATTGAAAACTATACTTCACAAATAATTACACGAGTTCTTCAATCTAAAAATATATTAATTAAAAAATAAATAGATGTTACAAAAACATATACCCGAAAAACAGCTAAAGGTAAAAAGAGAAACAGGATGGGCCCACCCTGATCTTGAATAGAAGTATATAATACACAATTTTTTCTTTATTTTAATTTGCTTTTATCATTAAACATTATAGCGAAATAGTCAAAATAATTTAGAGCGTCAATTCTAACTACAAATCTAGTAAAATCTGGTGGTTATTTCCACTTTGATTTGTTTTTTTTTTTAATTGGAAATCAGCAGTATATATATATATATATATATATAATTAATGAGAAAATAGATAATAGGAGTAGAACAAGAATTGAAGAGAAGTTTTGAATCAGGAGTAATATAGCCTAAAGAAAAAAAGTATGAAAAAAGGAACTGTGTACTAGGAATCACTCTTTAACACTTTGATATTTGAAATAGTTATTGAAACATATTTTTCTATTTAATATACACCTATTAATATTAATAATTTTTTTATATAAAATTACTATCTATTGACTAGCATGATTAATATTGATTGGTGACCTGTTACTCCTATCGTATTGTAAACATTATTCCAAACTCCGTAGACTATTTATAATCATTGACAGAGAAATAGAATAATTAGTTTAAGAATCATCAATATTTTGTATTTTCAATTAAAGAAAATTATTGTAGTTTGTAATTTTAATTTTGTTCCAACAGGTATTAGTCATATTAAAAAAGTAATTTAAGTAAAAATAATTTTTTACTTACATATGTTAATTGTGTTTGATGTTATTTTTAAAATATATAGAATGTGATGTTAAATTTTTATAAATAATAATAAATAATTCAATTAATATTTTTAAATGAAACAAAATTGTGAAAGTATTTTTAATAACTATACAATATTGTAAGCATGACAAAAATAAGCACTGTGCATAAATATTACGGAAAGCCTTTAAAAAAATTGTTTTATTAAATATATTGTATTATTTAATACAAAATAAACACCTAGTGTATATTTTCTTATGATATAAAATGTGGATGGATGACTTAATTGTATTCATGTAAATTGTTTTAAATTAGTTTAAAAATTTGTTTTTAATTAGCGTTATTATTTACATATAATTATAGATCTAATTATTTGTAAATACAATTGTAAAATTGACTATGTCAACTGTTTAATACAAAACAAATGTAACTGTAGATTATAATATATTCAATATTATTTGTTAAACTAATTTAAATAAGTGATTTACAGAAATTGAGTTTTGAACATTCGTCCACCTCGGTTCAAGAATGCGATGTGTGATTACTCTAAATTTAAATTCGTTAAAAAATGGTTCAGCATGGAGTTTGATTTACCCAATATTGGTCAATGATTTCTTATATGAAACTATTACATAACTTTCCAATTATTCGAAGTTTTATCCAAAATCGTAGAGCATTTTGACATTAATACTAACTCAATGAAATATTTTATATAACTACAAGAAAAAAGTTTACATTTTAGTAAAATGAATAGTTCCATGACTGCATTTAAAATGTAAAACATCATAAATTTAATTATAAATTATTGACTTTTTATCACATTTATTTTTTACTAAGTTACAAAGATCATATCTATGCACAATATATAGATTTATATTTAAATGCAATGTGCATGTATTTATAATGAAAATAATCCTCTAAGTTTTATATCAAATATAATACTCGTATGTTGTTCTATAAGTTGATTATTTGTTGAAAATATACATACAAAAAAATTAAAAACCTTTTTGATTAAAATTTGAATGAGTCAAATGAGTTAATATTAATATTCAAGGCTTGATTATTTATTTAAGTACACGTAATTAATGAATCTAAATACCCCTATAAAATAATTATTTATAAATTATCATCTCTAAATAATTAATGCAGTATGTTGATATATAATATTCTAATGTTTTAATTTTACCAAATAACTGTAATTTTCGGCTACTCTGATGCTTTACAGACAAAATAGAGTAGTTGATTCTGTAACTAAATTCGCTATTACCGAAGATCTTCAAGAAATTATTTATTAAACTTAGTTTTATACAAACAATATAATTAAAAAAAAAAAAACTCTGAGATTAAGAAAATTATGGAAGAGTATGTAATTTATAGTGTTAGAAATGTTCAAATTTATCTATGCCTGGTGCATAAATCTAATTAAATTGTTAGAATATACCCATTTCACAAATAATTGATGATTATAATTTTGTTTTTTTTTAATATAAATGATTGTTTAAATGAAATAATTTTTACAAGTAAATTAAGTTTACAAATATCTTAAGTTCTGAAATCTACATAAATTGTAGATACTTGCTAGAGATCAACACAGGCCGGGCTAGCCCGACTCGGTCCGTACGCGGCCCGACCCACACCGGGCTTAGTCCGGGCTGGGTCATAATTTAAATATTACGGGTTGGTTATAGATGGGATCGTAATATTATTCATTGGGCCGGGTCGGTCAAACCAAAACTAATTAATTTAATTTGTAGCATTATGTATTCTATATCTATAAATAATTTTATTTTTAAATTTTAATAAAATTTAGCATTTTTTTTTTTGTAATATATTTATTGTCTTTATGAAATGTTTTTGTCTGCCAAGTCAATACTGAAAGGAAATACAGTTGATGTATATTTTTATTTACAAACGGGCATGATTGAGTTGGACTTTGAAAAAAAAATTACAAACAGGCCTGGTTGGACTAGACTTAAAAAAAATAAAATATGGACCGGGCCTGGACGACGACAATTTATAAGTTAAAGTTTTGGGCCGGATCAGGTCGAAAAAAAACGGCCCGTGCTGATCTCTAATACTTGCACAGACCTTCTGATTCAAGTGTCTATACCTACGGACTATGAATAAATACATAAAAATAAATAAATATATACGATACTTTACATCGGGAAAAAACAGAAAAAAATTACTTTATCAAATTTTATCTATGTTGAAGAGTTTTAAATCCATTATATGCATACATAGTATATATTAAATAAATATATATTTATACTTAGATAAATAGTTATATTATAACACATGAGTAAGTGATCCTTTTAAAAATAAGTCCAATATGACATACTTCCTTTGAAATAAATTGTAATTTTATTAATATAATTATTGCTGTTATTTATTTTTATATTTTCAAAAAAAATGTTTAAATTTTTATTAAATGTAAAAGTCTTAAGTAATGTTACAAAAATCGTATACAAATAACAATGTTTAAAACATTAATAATAAATCACAATAATCAAAATATTTATGAAGTTTTTTTTTTTCTTATAGATATATATTTTTTATTCCTAATGTTCATCAATGATACATAGGTTGGAAACATATTTTTCCAAAAATTTACAAAACATAAGATTTTCTAGATTATTTAATGGAATATAACACGACAATATTGTACGAGTTAAAATTGAAAAATATTCCGACCTGTTTGGTGTGTCTGTAATAAAACTTTATGTAGTTTTTTTTCTTCTATTTCTTTTTGTAATAAAAACCGTTTTACTCCAAATACATTTTTAACTCTTGATAAATGTTGTTATATAGAAACCCGTTTTTCAGTAGAAACTTTTATGTTGTATATCTTACACAATAATATTATTCCGTTGGTGGAAAAAATATTTTGGTCTAACTCTTGTACGCAAAACACGCAATCGACTCACCGTTGAACATTTTACTTTCGGCATTTTATATGAAATAATTGAAACTAAATGCACGCTTGTTACAACTTACGATCTAAAAAATTGTAATGAACGTTTTCGTCAATTGTCAGTATTGATTTTATTGCTCTGACAAATTATTAAACACATACATATAAAGGAATATATTATAGCGATTTTAAATATACTTTACCACGCCGCCAATCGCAAACTCGTTATATACATTTTTATAATACAATTGTATTGCCCAATACCATTATCTATGATACAAGATATATATCAAAGATACCTACTTTATAATTTGTTATACAAATATATATATATATATATAAACATATATAAAAATCGCATTAGCATGTAAAATCTTAAAATTAAATTTCAAGTTTGAATTTTGGATTCAAAAATACCAATAATGCCTTAAAAATATTATAATGCCCTAAAAAATGAAATAAATGAGGTTCAAATCAAAAAATTATCAAAAAATGCGAAATAAATTTTCTTATTCTCATTCGAAAGTACATGTTACAGATTTGTGACTAGACAAGTATTGTATAGCAACCTCTGGAAAAAATTGAAAGCATATTGAAATCCCTGTCCTAATTTTAGTTAAACTGACAATTTAATTCCTGTGTATAAAATATATTGTGTTTCATTATACACCCACCAAAAAGCAAAGAGACAAGAGCAAAAAGATTATTTTTAGGAGTAATGCCAATTAATTTATTTAACGAAACATTAATCGAAAATAAATGACTTGTACGTCAATAGTATGCTAAAAAATAAATTTTTGGGAAATAAATTTCATAAAAAAATGCATTTGGGTCCAAATTCGAAAAACAATATATTTATTTTTATTTTGTTATACTTAAGGTAGAAGTCATCCAATTTCTTTCGGGTATTAAAAATTGTAATTATATAATAAACAATGTTTTTTGTTTGTTACATTAAAAAAGTAAGAAGTTACTTTACTTTTTAGTGATTATTATATTTATAAAATTATATTTTATATTACTCAAAACTGTAATTAAATTACTTTTTTTTAAAAAATAAAAGTAGCTACGTTACTTTCTAGTTACAATTGAAAAAAAATTGTATACATACATTTATTAGTAAAATCTTTTATCTATATATATTATAATATGAAATAAATATATTTTTGTTAAAATATTTTTTAGATTGTAGATACCTATTTGTAACATGTTGTCATAAAAATTGCATAAATAAAATAATTTTCATTACATTTTCGTTGCATAGTAAAAATTGTTATGAAATTACGTAACACATTACTATTAAAGTAATGGTGTTACTTTCCATTTCGTTACTGCCCAACTCTGATAATGAGTATTTGAAATAAAAAAAATTATACTAAATAAAATTTACTTAATGTTTCTAATAACAACTTGGATTAGTTTACGCTATTGCTTGCAAATAAAATACATTTTAATCAGAACTATAATATACTATTATATTATTATATGTTTTAATTTTTAATTTAGGTCATTGGTTCAAAGTCTTGATGAACCAACTCAAATGGGATATGTACCAAACAACATTCTCAAAAAAATTAATGCTCCTGCTAAAGCGACTGCAGTAATTCCCGCAGCAGGACAAACTTTATCCAAAAAGGATGCAAAATTTAACAGAGAGTAAGATTAATAATTTTGTGAAATATTTAAACTAACGATGAGCAATATTGAATTCAATTTCTTGATGTCTTCATCCTCGATAATAATGTTTAGTATCGTGTACCTAAAGTAGGTTACACTATAAATGTTCAAATCTTAGCTGAAAATTCAAAATTCAAATTTCTGAATATCGTTAACTGCATGTGTCTATAAACTGCATAAATTGTATTAAAATATTCTGAAACTACGATGTGTCATTATCAAAATAACTAATATCTTTTAATGGAAATTTGTTGAAATATTCGATTTTATCAATATTTTATTTTATAAGGCTTATAAAATTTTCTTCCCAGTCGATTTTTTTTGGATACAAAGAAAATCTTATAAAAATTTTTATTTACTATTGTTTAAAAAAATTGAAAGTAAATTTCCTCATTTTTATTTTTACTATCTAAATTTAGTATTAAAAATCGGAGCTTTTTTTTAAATAAACTGGATTTTTTTAACAATTAGTAACAGGTACAAAGACGTTTTTATTAAAATTTCAGGACATTTGGCAAATTTATTTTATTGAATTTTTTGAAAAAAATATAAGAAAACTTAAAAATGTCTATACTTTAAGAATAGCTCAAAAAATATCTAGGTATTTTAAATCACGTAATTTATAGCGAATCGCTATTCTTGGTGTAAACGGTTATCTATTCACCAATTTATGGTGAATTATTATTCTTTAATATTTTATATTAAAGTTATTATTTATTATTATTATTTTTTAAGTTTCAATAAAAAAAAAAAATTTTATTTTATCAAAAATCAGTAGATCGTAAATATTGCCATTTTTATAACTGTTTTTCAGTTTTTTTGATATTATTAAGAACATTTTTGAAAATTCATAAAATTTAGAAAGTTTTAATTATATCATTTAATACAATGTATTTTTTATTATTAGTTAGATAGTGTTTATCTTAATATTTATTTTTCCATATTGCCTGATTCTCTATAGAACACAAAACAATTTTAATAAAGAATTTTAGAAATTAAGTTATTGAACCACAAAAAATAAAGATTAGTTGTAAACTAGGTGAAATAAATAAAATTTTTGATGGATAATATAAACAATATACAAATATTGAAATATTTTTTATTAATAATCATTTTAATCCTACATCTATAATATAATTCATTTTTATATAGTGTTGTACTTGGTGAGTTAGTAGAAACTGAAGAGGAATTCGGACAAGATATCCAAGAAGTAGTTGAAAGATATTTAAATCCGTTAGAGTTCAATGATGCACCTAGAATAGTGAGAGACAATAAATATCTCATTTTCAATAATTTAAAACAAATATCACAATTTCATAACACGTAAGTTTTTCTATTTAATTTTTACCTAACAATTATCCAAAAAATATACATTTGAGAGTGTTTTGTTTTAATATATTTTTTTCAGAGTTCTCATTGCTGGATTGAAGTATGCAGCTAGTGAACCAAAAACGATGGGACGAACATTTCTTCGTTTAGTAAGTATATTTTAAATTAATATAACTTAACCAAAATTTTTTAATTTAAATTATCACATACTATATGTTTAATACATTTTAACCTAAAAAAAATTATGACAAATATTATATAATGATGTTATATCTTGATTGATATATACAGTATTTATTTCAGACCTTCTATACTGGGAGATATCGTAAATTTCCAAGAGGGTATGTTTTAGAAGTAAATAATTAAGGGAAGTAAAAGTATCGTTTTAAGCTCATTTTATTGGTATTAAATAGATACCTACCTATACGTTGATTCATAAAAATCTTAAAAAAATCTTTAAAAAATATTAAACTAAATATTAATTTTATTTTTTATCAACCTTGACACACAAATAACCCACGATTGTACAATAACTGGCTTCACGTATTTTCACATCACAATTATATTTAGTTTACGTAATAATGTCATACATTGTCGGGAGGGGAATACATTTTTCCCCAAGAGGTATTGCCCTCCCTCGGTCACCCCACTGAATAAACACTGGAATTATGTTAATATTTAACCATTGACTTGACAAAAAACTTACGTTATAATAAAAGTTGTTATTTTTCATTGCTGATTTTTATTAGAAATAAGTTATGTTATAATAATAAACATAATAACTTATGTTTATCCATAATAATAAAGAAGAGTATTAGAATATTAATACTAATTAGTAGTAAAATATACCATGTAATTTATATAAAACATTTTAGAAACCTTACATATTTCCTAAAATAAAACAGAATGAAAATATATCGAGCTCGTATTACTTTTAAAATTATTCAACTTTAACGTCTAACAAATATTGGCTTATTGAAAAATCAATCTTAATTAATTAAAAAAAAAAAAAAAAATTAAAATATATAACAAGTAATAATGATTTTTAAGTACTAATTTAATTAATAATGGTTATTCAATTTTAGTATTTCTATACATTGTATTGACACTTCAGTTAGAATGGGACATAAATTATTTTCATATAGATATAATATAATTAATATTAAAATAAATTCAATAATAATAAATTGAAAAGATAATTGAACTACAGTATCAAATAACTAGTTTTTTATTTATTTTGATAAAAAAATGCCTTTTTAAATGTATTGCTCATATCCAGTGGCGTAATTAGAAATTTTCTTGGATGAGGGGATTACATTTTTCTAGTAAAAATCTGTACAATTTATATCACTTCCAAAAAATGTAAAGTCAATAATAACACAATTATTTATAATTTTATAGTTAGCTCAATAATAAATTATATATTTGACTATTATTAATAAAGTCATACATAGAAATGTATACAATTAAATCCAAATGAAAACTTGATCTATAAAATAAATGAAATATATATTTGGTTAGTTCCAAAAAAATATTACATTTTAAATTAACGTGTAAAATGATTTTTACCTAAACAACATGGACTAAAATTATACTTTAAAAAAATTATAAATTCTGAGTTGAATGATTTTTAAAAGTAATGAACCGTCTATAGCAAAAGAATCTTTCTAACATGTATCATGATATACACTTTAAAACATCTACTACAAACTCAAAAAGTTTAATAAAATCATGAATTGATTACCTGATCATACTGATCGTACCTTTGTATTCAGTACGTTATGTATATTCGTTTAAATTTCTTAAATTTTGAACAAATACTACTATTTTTAATAGATAACAGAAACACAGCATTTTGTTTAGGAGTATAAAAATAAATGTGTAATTTTTCAATGATTCCTAAACCGTTTTTAACTGAGTTTATGATGATAGTAGTTGAATTTGCTAAATTAAGGGAATGGGCTGCACAATGAACGTATAATTCTTTGAGATACTTGTATCTAATATATGCTTGTACACCCTGGAATTTACCAAACATGTTACTTGATAGGTTTTTTTTTTTATATACTATATTGGTACAGATTATATATTATACAATTATAAATATATATATTATATAGATTAATACGTATAAACTAAACTATTTTTAATACCGATTTTATGCTAAAATCTAACAATCAAACCAACTTCACTTAATATACTGTAACCCACCATTTTTTCAAACATGCTTTATACTATTGCACTAAATTATATGTAAGTAATGTTTTTATAAACGATTGATTGGTCACCTTAAATGCTTTTTTAATAATAAAGAAATCAAAAAATTTAAATTTTTTGCTAAATATCAAAACCAATATGAATACAAAATACAAAAATTAATAGGTATTATATCTTACTGAAGTTACATATTATTCTTCACATATTTAATTTTTTAGTGTTTTAAGTTTGCCTACACATTACTCCTTTATAAATTTAACAAATTGACAAATATGGCGTTTAAAATTAGTGAAATCCAGTGTTATTAGGTTTTTAGGTATGATTCTATGCACCTGGATACACTAGATGCATATAACTTATAAAAATTGTTTTTATCTTAGTTTAAGTAAATAAGTATATCAAATGAAATCAAATTCCAAATTAAAACTTTTAAGATATTTTTGGAGGAATATAGCTTTAATATTTTTTTATTAATTATTAATTCATTATTATTTAAGTGATGAATAATTATAATCATAAATATATGATTAATAATAATATTATAATAAATATAATTTAGTCGTGTAACTAAGAAAAAATACTATTGAATATTGAATAATGATGGATTGCCTTTTTTAGGAAAGAGATTTCGATAAGCATGTAGATTATTGTCAGACGGAACCTGATGCACAAGATTTTTTAGAACGTAACTATTCAGTACGTGAATATTTTGACGTAAGTGAAATATATATATATTGTAATTATTTGTGAGTAATATATTTTTGATTCATTGAATACTAATGTACTTACTATAATCAACCACATTATTTTTAAAATATATTATTATTGTTATATTATATTTGAATTTCAATTGTTGTTTTAATATGGCAATATTATTTTAATGTAAATTAGCAATTATGCATGTAGTAATTTTTTATGAAAACATTTATATTTTAGTTATAAAATAAGGATCATTATTAGTATTAATAATGTATTTTAATCTATTATTTTTTTATAATGTAAATTTAAATCGATAATAAAAAAAAAGTATAATTTAACCGAACTATAAATATTAGGTTTATTCAATCAAATAAAAAACTAATCATTGAATTTATAAAAGTTTTTCGTTTTAATGGTAAAATATCTTAAACATTTCCTTAAATAAATAACAATTTGAATTTATGCGTTCTTAAGATAGTATTTAAAACATAATATGTCTTTCTATAAAATGTTATGTAATTAAATATAACATTTATAAATAACATTTAATTTCGGAAAATGCGTTATCGTTAACCCGGTAATCATATACGAGTATACCTGTACAATTATGAGTATAGGCGATTCCGGTTAGATTTGTATATTGGTTGGTGAGTTACAGACGTTAAAGTTGCTTGATTAATTCTAAACCTATTACTAATCTTCAAACTCAAACCACTTGCTTAATGATAAATAAGGATATGAAAAATCTATTTTCAAATGTGAGTGCTCATAGCTCACAGAAAAATTTTTGATTATACGAGTATATCGTGCATAAATGGAGAAATTTTAAATGTTTAATTAGAGTAAAATAGCTATTACATGTGTTTAATATATTTTATAAAATTATAAAATAAACATAAATTATTGATAAGAATACCCATAGTTAAAACCTTACATCATAATCCAAATTTTAAATACTTATAAAAAAGTAATTTTTCTCAACTGATTTTTGAGATTTTAAAGTTATAATTGGAATAAAATATATGAGCATTAATTTTAAATGTTTAATTCTTGGTAATAACAATGTTCAATTTTAAATTTAATTATAAGCTTAATTTTTTAATATTTATATTTCATACATAAGACAATGTTGCCGTTCACTGAACTTCAAATGCTTATAAAAATAATTGTTTTTATTTTAATTAAAAAAGCTCAATCAACAAAAGTTAATTTATATTTTCTATTTATTAAATTGAATTTATTAGTTCTATAAAGAAATTAACATATATTTTATTATAATGTGTTATAATTCATATATGATCCACACTGTTGATACTCTACTATTTATATTTATCATGTCTATATTTAAAATATTAATTTAGAAATATATAGTTATCTTCAAATTATTTAATTAACTTATAAAATATAAAATATGTATACCTACTTACTTAAAATAATTTAAGGAGCCCGATGGACACAAAAATAAAGATAAATATACTAAAATCTATGATAATATCACTTAATTAATAATAACTTTAATAATAGATTTTCCATTAATAGTCATATTGTTTCTCTAACTACATTCTAAATAATTTAATTCGTATTAATAATATAAATAGTTATGTTTAAACCAAAATTATAGCATTATTTAACTTTTTTGCAATTGTAACAGTTCATTGCTAATATATTTAACAGATGTTCTGCCTATGAATATTCACCAGTCTTATCCTCGATTATTTAAAATATAATTTAATTTATAAATAAATTATAGTCTTTACATTTTTCTTTATCCAATACTGATGAAAATAAATCGTAACCATCGTAAGTTGCCTATTGTTAAAATTTGATATTTTACATATAATGCTAGTAATTTTTCTGAAGTAGGCTATTATTATATTCTACGATTACTATTATATAATATCAAGGTCGTTAACATGGTGGGTGGGGGGTTTAGGATCGTGTACTCCCAAAATGTTTTCTTAAAATAAAACTGAATGATTAACTAAATGCTATTATATTTTAAATTTGAAAATTTACTAGTTAAGAAAAATTTTTAACCTAATTAATTAAACTAAATCAACACTCAAACCTTCAAATCTTTTTCTTGCTTTGTGTATTGCTAATTTCAATATTCAATAACAAATTTAGCTAATACATACTAATATACTATAATTCACCTAAAATAAATTTATGAGGCAGATATCAATTAAATAAAAGTATTATTTCTATAATAGATTAATTTAATGTTATAGTATATACCAGGGGTGAGCAACTGGCGACCCGCGGTCCGCATTCGGCCCTCAAGCCTTTTTTTATCTATTCTATATTTTCATATTTTTAATGATCTTTTTTTTCTATGTTTTGGTCTGCTGGATTTTTATTTTCTAAAAATTAGCTCTCTAGTAACTTTCAGTTGCCCATCCCTGATATATACCAGCGATACTCACCCTATGGCACACGGGAGGTAGTGGCCCTCCAACGATTTATATGTGGCCCAAACAGAACTCATTAAATTGATAGTAAAATATAAAATTCAAAACTTATATTATAAATATAAAATAGTTATAATAAAACAATCAAAGTGTGTCGCAAATTCAAAAATGAAATATGCAAAGAATGTGTACAGAAAGCGGCTTACTGATTCACATCTTGACGATTTGCATGTAGCAATTAAAAACCAAATATATCCAAAATAGTGAACAAACGATCTCAATATAAAAATTTACACTAATTTAAATTAAATATTTAATTTAATTTTTTTATAATAAATTTTCAAATTTTATATAATATACACAATATATAAATTTATTTTTAGTTTTTTTTTTTAATTTCCGTTCCGTTCATTACGACTTGCGGCCTGTAAAATATTTTAAAATATTTTATGAGGCCCAAATAAAAAAAAGGTTGAGTGTGGCTGGTGTATACTGTTTAATAGAAAAGTAACAGTATTGGCTGGTAGCCATTTGCAACATCCTTTGCTGGAAGAGTATTTCTTAACATTTTTATAGTGCAAAATAACCACATTAACCAACTTATTGACAAAAATATTTAAAAATTCTAACAAATAGAGTTTAGTTAGAACATAAAACTCTAATGTCACTATATTATTAAATATTTAATAATTTTAATTCAATGAAAATAAGAACTTATCACTTATTCTTTAAATTAGTAATATAATAATTCACAATTATTTAACAGTTCACGATCTATTCTTATAAAGACTAATAAAAGCTATCGAAATATATAAATAATTTTATAAAAATTATTACATATTACAAATAATATTTTTTTATGTCTGGGATCATATGTTTGAACAAAAAAATTTGATTGTAATTTATATTGAATTTAATTTATATTATTTGTAATACTTAATAATATTAAATAATATTTTGTTATTATTTTAAGAGTATAAAAAAGTTTTATTTTATTTTTATTTTTTTACATGAAATTACATATACGCTATATATTTATTATTTATTATATATATTTATTTTACTATTATCATTTATACTTATGTATAATAATAATTATGTTTGACATGTTTTTAATTTTAGTAAAAATTAAATAATTTTGGTGATACGTATATAAAATACACCTGCATATAAAATTAAAATTATATCTATTGATAACCTAAGATTTTTCGGAGATTTCCAAGGATTTTAAGGCTCTATGAAAGAACTGATTAATTAATAATTATTTAACTAATTATTTTTCACAATTTAATTTTATATTAGTAGTATCAATAAATTTTTTGTAGTTTTTTTTTAACACCTGTCTATGTTTTAAAAGTTACGTTTGTATTTTATTTGATTTTTCACTAAGTATGGACCCAAAAAAACCTCAATTTAGTATTCACAGCCAAGCGTAATTTGATTTCGTTATAAAATTATGAAATGTGTATCTGACATAAAATCAATTCCTTAAATACGAATTCAGGGGGTAGGGTTGATCTCCCCTTCCCGCCCCCATGTATAAATCAGATTCTTACTTTGTTATGGGTTTAATGCGTTTTCCTCGTGCAACTATTCCACTATCACACGATGACAATAGCACGATTGTGGATAACACAGAATAAGTCTATAGTAGATAAGTAACTTATCTACAACCACAAATTAACGTATAAGAATACTTATATAAGGTTTATATATATATCTTCATTTGTAGTTTTAAGGTTTCTTATCATCGGTTGTTGGATATATATTAATTCGTATCTACAATCAAGGTGTATTGATAAATTATACATCTTCAATACGTCTTGTGTATAATCATGATTTCAGATTACAACCATGGACAATATACATCAGTTATCAGATTTTAATATAGAACATTATGATGGGAATCACGAATATTTTTTTATTAGTCGGCACTTATGCTTTTTAAAAAAAAAAATAAAACATTGAACTTAAGCATCGATATATATATCCATGTATCGATCTAAAACATAGATGTTTTTGCAAAATTCTAGTTTACATAGATATTAGTAATAGTACCAATTATAGAACATTAGATTTACCAAAAAACGTGAACACAACACTAAAAGAAAAAAATGTTCTTTGTAAACGCATGAAATCATATGTACCACTAAGAAATAAAATTCCTAATTAATAATGTAAACGATCCATACTACATAGTAAATAACTTGTAAAAAAAATTTGGCTACTTCCTAACTTTCGTTATTTATCAATGTGATGTGTTACCATATTATACCATGGGTGCTTAAAATATTTTTAAAAATTATTTTGAATATGAGTACAACTTATTGTTTCTAGTATTATACTCAAATTTAAATTTAAATATTTAATTCAACTTATTTAAAGATAGTGTATTTTTGAGATTGTTCCAAGAAAACGGTATAATTAACAGTAATTTAATTATTAAAAACTTATTCATAAATAATAAACTGAATAATTCAAATATTTTGTAATATTATATTAAACTAACTTAACTCGCAAATTTAGTAAACATATTAGCTATTGAATACAATTACTAATTATGCATTACCTATAATGTACTATTAGTAATTTTAATCGATTTGTTTTAATGAAGACTTTTAAAATTGAATTTAGAATTTCAAAAATTTATTCACAAAATGTTTGGTTATAAAAAAAATGAAGTAAAATGATAGCTATATGAAGTAACTATAAATACACCATTCGATGATAATTTTATGTTTACTAATGATAATCACCACTATTTTGGCAGACTCAATATCGGTGGTGGTACACATTATATAAATGTACTTATTAAGATTTATATTAATGCAATAATATCATTGTTCAGATATTGATATACTAAGAATATAAGAATAAAGGTTTATAATATATTTAAAAATACTTAGATATAAAATATAGTATAAAATATTAAAAATACAAATGTTTATTTTTTTATGTCTAAGAATATTCTAATTATACATAGTTTTAGGTACTATTGTTATATAATTAAAATATAAATTATTTCTGTTAAGTGAAAAATGTAAAACGATTTATATTATATAATTTTATGTTTATTACACCAATTAAGAAAATTAATAGAACACAAGGGAACTAGTATGCGATTATTTATTTTTAAATCATGCTATATATATGAACACGATTATAACGGAAGAGCTGCGAAGTCTACTTTTATTTATACATGCAACGCTCACACTTGTTGTGACGATTTCCTGAAAATTCATCAGCAGTATATTTTTACACTGTCTGTTGTCAGGTTGAATTCGGTCACCAGTAAAAAAAAAAGTTATCTGTAATATTAAATATTCAAAATTTGTTTAAATTTCAGGATGAAAGATTAAAATTTGCTGATGATAAATCACTTTCAGAACATTTAAAATTACCTATACAAAGAATAAATGATTATCAACTACTACTTAAGGTTAGTCATGAATAACTATGTATTTCAACAATTATAAAATGATGAAAAAATGTGATAATTACATATACAGTCCCTTAATAACTGAATATTGACTTAGACTTTGGAAAACAGAAAATATGATGTTAAAAATATAGGTTAAATATCATTAATAATTTTAGTTGTGTTAAAAATTTATTTTATACATACATTTTTAATGGAATCAATATCAAACATAACCGAATAAAGTTAATTAAAATAACATTTGGGAACTCATTAATTTTTTTATTTTACTGTTGTTGTTTTTTTTTTTTTTTTTTGTACAAAATATAAACAATTTATTATTCTTTAAATCTTCGGAATTTTATTTCTAAATCTAAAAACTTTATTTGCTACTTCATAAGATTATATGTTTGTAAAAAATTCCCTATAAATCATTTCAATACTTATTAAATGCTTTTAACTGTAACGCCAACAAATTCTGAATTAAAATCGATTTTAACATTATTTTACATTTTACAATTTCAAATGATTTCTTTGTTCATTATTATATTTTTATAAAAAAAAAAAAATTAATTCATAAAAAGTAAAATTTGTTTTAAATAATTTTAAAACTAACTTTATTCCACATAAAATATTCGTTATTTTTATTCTATTAGGAACTAGTAAAGTATTCATTGCTTATTGGAGAAGATACCACCGACTTAGAAAGAGCTCTTGAGTTGATGCTATCGATACCACACCGATACACGGACAAAAAATTCTTAACTAATATCGAAGGATTTCATGGCACTATACATAAATTGGGCCGATTATTAAAACACGTAAGTGGTCCACGTCATAAAACATCAAATGTTTATAAATACCGACGAAGGTCAAATGTTGTTGAAGTCTGTCGTTTTTCTATCTATTTAACATGTGTTTTGTAAGATGTTTTATTCAGAATTGAAAAATCTATAGCTTGAAACTTTTAAATAAACTATTATTATCTAATTATTTATGTTTAATTATTTAAACCGTGTAGGGATGGTATTACGTACAAGACGCCGAAGATCCCAAAGGTCATCAACGATACTGCTTTTTATTCAAATCTAGAATACTTGTATGTAAAGTTCGCCGAATAACTGAAGATAAATCTGTATTTGTTCTAAAAGATATAATTCGGGTAATTTTTTCTAATACCTATAAAAAAGTATCAAATTTTTAGTATTATCAATTTCGGTTTATTTAGTTACCCGAAGTGACTGTGAAATCAGCACCAGATAACAAACGTGTATGGGTTCTTCATCATAATCAAGGAGAAGTTGGTAATTATCCTTTCACCTTTAGAGCTAATGAAGATGGAATTCGAGACCAATGGATAACGGAAATTGAAGAACATAAACAAGATTTACGTAAGTGCCTCAGTTTATGATTTCATGAAATATCGGGCTATATTTATCAGATAGAAAAAATAATTATTTATTTCTTTTGGGATATATTTTACATCTACAATTACTTTTCAACCAATTTTCTTATTTACTACCATTAACTATGTATACTTTCTTTTCCACTTTATTTCATTTATTACTAAATGTTTTTGTTGCTAATGAAATAGCAGTTATCCTAATGTTACATGTGATATAAAAGATATTAGATATTAGATTATTAGATTATTAGATTATTAGATTTATTATAATAATGAATGAATTTGATTTTATTTTTTTATATTCAGTTACAATTTTATTAACTTTGTTTATACCCAGTGGCGTAGTGAGAGTATGGCGAACTGTGCCTACGTGAATTGCAAAGGGGCGTCAAATTATGCGAAAGTCACATTTTTATTCTACAATCAAATCGAAATTTTTTCATTGTGCTCTTTGAAATACGTTGATGTTATCTATTTGTACACACTGCGTGTGAATTAAATGATGCAATTATGAAAATAGCGCAAGAACATTTAAATAAAAAATTTCATATAAAGAAATTATCGATAAATTTGCTAGTCATAAAGCGAGAATTGCAAATTTTCAAAATTTGAAATTAACAATGTAATAACTTATAAGTATAAATTGTATACTTAAAAATATTAGTAAAATTAAAAGTTAAAAAAATATCGTGGCATCAAATTTTAATTGTTTGAAAAACGTTATTTTCTAAGTTTGCCAGGGGCGCTAGTGAGTCTTCCAACGCCACTGTTAATACCTAGTAATTATTTTTTAATTCATAACCTGTTGTACTTTACAAATATAATAATATTCCAGACTAATATTTTATTAATTTTTTTCTATATTTAAACTATTTGTTTATTTATTTATAAATAATTAATCGTCACAAATATTTTCGCAATATTATACAAACGCACGAAAAGGAAAAATAATCATGTAGTAATAAAATATCCAAATAATCGTTTTTAATACTACTAATTGGTAAATTGTTAATAACTCTCATAAATTTTATATATATTTTAAACAATATTTTATAAAACGAGATTATTGGTTAAAAGGTGAAAAAGAAGATCTGCAAGACCAATATTGGGAGCAAGAATACATTTCTATAGCTGAAAAAACTACTCGTAAATCTTCTCAAACAGGTTTATAAAAATAACTATACTTGAGCTTTTATTGTGCTATTACGCCTTAACTGTTGATACTATAATCGACCAAAAAGCATACTTTATCAAAAAAATAAAATACGAATTGCTATTAGATTGCGCATTTATGTAGAAATAAATACATCTACATACATACCTATGCTTTAAGCTATTAATTGATTAATAATTCTTTTTTCATCGATAATTTTAATTTATAATTCATAATTTTATTTTAGTAACGAATATTGAACACAACAGTGACGACATTAAAGTTCAAAAACAAAAAGACGAAGATTTATTTGAACCACTTAAAGGAATTGAATTAGATATCTCTTCAGAAATTGAAGAAGGTTTGGATCCTATTGAAAGACGAGTTGCACCGAAACCACTGAAGCACGTTGAAGAACCAAAACGTCCACCACTTACACTTCCCCCTAAAGAACCAATATTTGAATGCACGTCACCTCCTGAACCCATTAAAAAGCTAGAACCTGAAGTCAAAGTTGAAGGTGAGTAAATAATTTAACTAATTACTCTACTCTAGTAAATAGGAATATAAAAGAATATTATTTTTTTAAATTTTCTTAGATAATAAGTTTAAAATGTTATAATATTAATATATTTTCTTTTTCAACAATTTTGAACTGTATAATTTTATTTTATATTAATATACTTGTTTTTATATTTTAAGGAAAATTAATAAAACATTCAAAAAATTAAATTTGAATTATAAATAATTGCTAGATTTTACCGTTTGAGTTTTACTGAAATCAAATGGTGAATAATTAAAATGTAGTCTGAAATTGTTTATCTTAATTTATTTTATACAATTCATTTTTACTCTAAATAACAATATGATCAATTTTAGAAAAATATGACCATTTTATTCTTATACAATTGTATAATTATAAACACAATTCCTTACAAATAGAATCAATACAATTTAATTACATTTTTTTACTATACCTATTATTATTTCACAGAAACCCCAGCGATTGAAATGCCAGTTCCACTACAAGAAGTTGTTATTGAAGAAGTAAAAGAAGTACCTATTCCAGATATACATCCTGTTCTTCCAGTAGAACCTCCTCCACCTGAAAGGTCTCCTTCTCCAGCTGATGAAGTAATTGAACCAGAACCATTAAAATACATCGAAGGGGTATCGAAACCATTCTTCCATGTCAACATTAAAGGAAACAGTCATGGAGGTTTGTAAGCAAATATTTAATTGTGTTAAATACGTTTTTAAATTTAAGTAATTTCTTATTAATTTAACTATTGATAAAATATGTCATTAAATAAAAAGGTAATATTGAAGAGTGTAAAGAATGGTGGGACAGTAAGGGTGAATTTAAATCAGGAAGATCAATGAATAATGAATCTTCTATTGCAGGTGATAAACACGTGAGAGTAATCCGAATTTAAATTTATTTTTAAATATGCTTATATTTTAACCCAGGCCAATGTAGATTGAAAAGCATAGTAAAATGTTTATATTGTTATATGATGTTTATCAAAAAATAATAATTGCTTTTTATAATTAATACTGAATCAAATATTTCATGAGTACTTTTACTTATATCTGTATTTTTACTAGTTGGAGAAAATACAGTTTTCGAATGTGAAATTGAAGGTGCTAAAAAAGTTACATGGTTGAAAAATAACATGCCTTTACCAAGTACTATTGCTGATCGATCTAGTATAATTGAAGATAAAGAGAAAAATTTGTATAAACTGCAATTGAATAAAGTAATTATGTCAGATTCAGGAACATATACTGTTAAAGCTGAAAATGATATTGGAGAATCTACAAGCACAGCTCTATTATTTGTTGAAAATCGTACGTAGTAAAATATTGTTTAATCATTTAAAAAACAACCATATAAACTTATGAACATTTAGTTTCAGCCTCTGAAAAAAAAGCTAGGGCTAAAGCAAACGCTCCAATATTTACTGTAAAACTCGCTGACACTGAGCTTTTAGAAAATACTCATGCTAGATTTATGATTGAAATAAAAGGAAACCCATCACCAAAATTGAGATTGTAAAACTACCTAATTATTTAAATTTACTCTTTTAATATGTAATAAATAATTTTATATTTATTTAGTTTTAAAGGGGATAGAGAAATAACAGATGAAGATTTAAGAGTACAAATATTAGAAGTTAATAAAGAACAAGGTCTTTATGAATTGATACTTCCCGATATAAAACCTGAGGATGCAGGCGAATATAGAGTGGTAGCCAGTAACAAATACTCAGAAGAATCGTGTTCTTGCGTTGTTACCGTCACTAGTATGCAATTATTTAATTTTAATATTTTAGCAAAAACTTTTTATAATTGTATATTTATTTTTAAGACGAAAAAGATTTATGGGCTGGTATGCAAACTGATATACCAGTTGATGGTACTCCTAAATTTACATGGTTGAAAAACGGAAAGCCATTTAATCCAGAAGAACGATTTAAAGTATTATTTAAGGATGATGAGGATTCATTAGCCTTAGTTTTCCAAAATGTTAAACCAGAAGATGCTGGATTATATACTTGTATTGCTTCAACTTGTCATGGAAAAATATCATGCAGTGCTGAACTAAGTGTTCAAGGTATAATTATACATTTAATTGAGTAGTACAATCGTGTAATTTTATTTAACTTTGATTATTTTTTAGGAGTTGTAAAAGATATACATTTGCCTTATGCTCCAAGAATAACAATTGAATCTAAAGAACTCGAAACTAAAATTCTAAGTACAGCAATTATTGAAGCTAAAGTAACTAGTGACCCGTCTCCAACTATTGTATGGTTCAAAAATGATGAAGAATTAATAGAAAATGAACGAATAAAAATCATGTTTGAAGATGACATTGCTGCTGTGGTAATAAAAAATGTTGAGGTCGAAGATGAAGGAGAGTACAAAATATATGCGAAAAATGATGAAGGATCAGCGACTGAAACAATTAACCTTTTAATAAAAGCCGCTCCGAGATTCAAAAAGAATCTAACTGATTTTGAAGGTGTTACAGGAAAAGATATTACATTAACAGTAGAAATAGAAGCGTCTCCAAAACCAATAGTTCAATGGTAAAATATTACATAGTAATGCTTTGTATATTCGATTAAAAATTTTATTTTATATTTTTAAAGGTATAAAGACAGCAAAGTTATTAAGAAGTCGAATAGATTTAAGTATGTCACTGATGAAGTATCAGGTATCTATACTTTAATTATTCAAGATTGTAAAATGGAAGATGTTGGATTATACTCTGTGGTAGCTTCAAATCAATTCAGCCAAATATCTGATGCTTGCCAAATTAATCTCCAAATGCCACCTCAATTTATCGGTGCTTTGGCTAAAGAGGTAGAAACCCTTGAAGGTGATTATGTATCTTTAAGCGTGAGAGTAGAAGGAGATCCACCACCCCAAGTGCAGTGGTAATAAACATAACCATATTTATTATATTATCTAAATAATTAAAATCATTATATAGTTGTTCAATTATTGTAGGTATTTTGAAGATAAACTTATAATCGCAGATAAAATTCATACAAAAATAAACGCTGTAGGAGATGTTCATACACTTTTAATTAGTAATCTTACAAGAGAGGATTCTGGCAAATATACATGTGAAATAAGAAATGAGTTTGGAAAAAACACAAGCGAAGGAAAATTATTTGTCAAATGTCCACCGATTTTTGAAACTCCTTTAACTGATGTAAAAGCAGTGGAAGGAGATACTAATGTAGAGTTTACAGTAAAACTTAATTCCTATCCTAAATCATCAGTTAAATGGTAAAATTAAGTGATATATATAGAAAATAAATGCTATTATATTTATTAATTTAATTAGGTTCCGAGAAGAAGAAGAAATAACAGAAACAACTACTGAATTCACATGTATCGAAGATGGAGATAATTTCAAACTTGTTATAAAAGAAGCTAAAACTAAATTATCTGGGTCATATAAATGTAGAGCAACAAACGAAATTGGAACTTATGATTCAGAAGCAACTCTTACTGTCATGTGTAAGACCAAACATAAATCTACTATTTTGGTTTAACAATTTTAATAATTGATATTTTGTAGCACATCCTAATTTCAAGAAAGGATTGAAGGACATGGAAGTAACTGAAGGAGGAATGCTTAAATTACAAGTTACCTGTTATGGGAGTCCTATACCTGAAATTAAATGGTTTAAGGATGGTAAAGAAGTACATAGTGATGCTCATATCAAAATATCAAAAGACAAAAAAAGAGTAGAAAATTTCAGTCTCACTGTTAATCTTGTAAAAGTAGAAGATGGCGGAGAGTATGAAGTTAGAGCCACAAATGAAATGGGAACAGCTGTTACTAAGAGTATTGTAAATATTCTAGGTAAGTCATAATGTACAGCATTAAATATAATATTTAAAACAAATATAAAATGTATTATATCTGTGAAATATTGATAACTAAGTAATTATGATAAAGCATGACTTCTAAACATGTTTGATTTTAAACTTGATTGACCCAACCCTATATGAGCTTATTATTATAAGTTTTATTTTTTATTTTAAATGTTATAATTTTGCATTTTGCATGACTTCAACTCACTTAGCAAAACAATCGGCTGATTACAACGATGATGATAATGAATCAGATAAAAATGTAAATGAGGATACCAAAGAAAATATAGATAAAAAGGAAAAAGGTTAGTTACCTAAATGTGTTGTGTAAATAAGAACTTTTATAATTATATAGTTATCTACATATAAATCTATGGGATTTAATAAAATAGTAGAATAGATGTATGGTATATATGCTAAAAGCTTAAGTTGCTAGTAATTTTAAAAATCAATGGCATACGTAAATGTTAAAAAAAAAGTAATTAAATTTATTAGTGTTATGGCCAATCAATATCAACAGTTCAGAAGGTACCCAAGAAAAATTAATAGAAATAAATGTGGCTGAAGATAGAAAAATGGGTATTTCATCAATAAAAAATATAGGTGGGTACGCAATTCATTTCAGGAATCAACTGAGAAAAATTTAGGGTGTCCTCATAGTTATAGTAATTAACGCGTTACAGATGGTGATCAATCTTTCAAAACCGAAGAAAGTTTAATTATAATGAGCAATCAGTCAGAAGGATTTAGTTGCGTTGAAATGAGTTGGGAAGAATCTTCTATTAAATGTAAGAATTTCTATGGGATCGTGGAGGAACCAAGAGATGAAAGAATTATACCTATAAAAATCGACAGAGGAATATCAATACATACAGCTTCTGACGAAGAAGAAGAACCATTTTGGGTAATCGAAAGCGTTAAAAAACATGAAGAAGTTAGAAATGAGATTAAAAAAATGAAAGAAGACAAAATTCTCCAACGATCATCATCAGTTGATAATTACGACAAAGAAGATGATAAATCATTGAATGAATTATTGAAACGAGTTAAAAAACAACGAAATGATTTGGAAGATATATTGAATAAAGAAAATCACTTTACAGAAAAGACGGTTTCACGAAACAATAGTATATTCAGTGAAGCATCTACTGTCGAAGAAAGATCAGTTTCAAGGTTGTCATCTTTAGAAGAAAATATAAAGATTTGTGAGTCAGCAAATAATTTATTAAATAATGATAAAAAAAAAGAATTATCATCAATCAAAGAAAATACATTAGAAGAATTTAAGGCTAATATCATTAATAATCTAGATATACCAAAAAATGGTTCTATAACTAATGGTTCATCAACAGATACATCACAAAATAACTCTTTTATACAAAATGAAAATTTGGATGAAAAATATTCTAAAAATGAAAATAATATTTTGAATCCCGTTAAAAGAATTTCCCTATCAAGATTATCTTCAACGGAAGACTGTGACAATTCTTATTTACCCGAGAAATATATAAAGGTGTGTTCTGAAAATCCAATAAATGAATCACAAAAATTCATAGTAACTTCTTTTAAAGAAAGTCATAAAACTTCAATGCCAATAAAACTAAATGAATACTCTGATATATCCAGTATAGGGTCAAAACCAGATACTGTTAATGAAACATCTATTTCATCTGATAATAATCAATATGAATTTAATAATTTAGTTTCAAAATCACTTCTTCGAGATAAATCTGAAGAATACGAAAAAAAACCTCATAACATAAATGATGAACTTAATGATAAATTAAAAAAAATTGAAATTGAACATTTGAATGATTTTTACAATTCTATAAATACTATTAACAACAATGGATTAAATAATATTAACAAAGTTACAAAAATAATCGAAAACGATAACGACGAATTAGATGCCTTACAGAAGTATAAAACTGAAGAAAATGATTATCGAAGAAAATCATTAATAAGACAATCTAGTATATTAAGTGATGCTTTAAATGCATTGTGTAATGAAACCCCTGAGGACTCTAATTATAACAAACAAAAAAAATTATTGATCGAAGAAGATAGTATAAATAATACATTTAATTTTAATCTAAAAGAAAAAAATGAAAATGATTTATCGAAACTTTCAACTCAAAAAGCTAACTCTACCAAATCATCATTGACTGATAATGAATCACAAGGTAATTTAAGTAGAAAATCTAGCATTTCAAAAATTTCGGATGACAAAAACATTACAATTCCTGAAAATTCTGAAGGTAAATTTCACAAAGAAAACAATCAATCTGGAATTAATAATATACTCGTTAAAGAGGAACCCAAAATGTCAAGTTTAGAAACATCATCTAAATCATCAATTCTGTTAGATGAAAACCAGAAAATATTAAACGAATTAGAAAACAAAGAATTAACTGCTATAAAAGAAGAAACTAATTTAACAAAAAGAACTTTAGAAAATAATCTTTATAATTTACATGAAAATTCTTCTAGTTCTGTTTTAAATAAAAATGAAAATGTTATAACTGATGATGGAATATTAAATGATCAAGATGTACATTCTACGCCTAAACTTTTATTCAAAGACAATAGTTTGGACAAACTACCCGAAGAACCTATTACTGTGGAAGGTAATAACAAGAAATCTAAAATTATTGTAAAAGATTCAAATCTTAATAATTTAACCGGTACATCATTACTATCAAAAGAAGACAAAAATATTAATAATCAAGCAGTACCATTAAATGAACATTTCGTCGATAAAGAAAGTAATATGAATTATACAGGACAAAATATCAAAGATACAAATGATATAATATCAACAGAACCTACTTTAGACAATAAAGAACATACTAATGAGAAAATTTCAAAATTGAAATCTGTAGGCATAGAAAATGAAGAAATTTACGATAAGTCTACATGTGGAACAAAGCAAATAAGAGGTATACAAAATATCAAATGTAATAATTACGTCAGTGTCGTCTTTTATTTCTTGTCCGTTCAGAAATCGTCATTGTTCAGGTTATAAAAGCTACATATTGTTTATAGTTGTTGTACGCCTAACTGCATTATTTTAACATAATTTACTTATAATATTTGTTTGATTGATGACAATATTTTGCAAACAAATATTTTATTAACATTCACATTTTGTTTTACCGTTTATTCTAACATGTTTATGAGTTTCGTATATTTGTCTTATATGCTGGTAAGTTCCATTTAATAAAAATATTAGGATGAATAATTTATAAAATTTTAAATTTTTAGTTCCTCCAAAAATTTTATCTGGGATGGATGACGTCGTTACTTACGAAACACTTACTCAAGTATTTAATGTCAATGCTTGTGGTACTCCTAAGCCGAAAGTTCAATGGTAGTAATAAAATATTTTGAGCTAAATCATTATTAGTATTCCAGTTATTTAATAAAATATGTTAAATGTCTACTTCAGGTTCAAAGATAGTGATGAATTATCAAATACTAGAAATATTCAAATCATTGACTCTGATCAAGAAGAATCATTTAAATTAATTATTAAAGACTTAAGAGTAGCTGATTCAGGTTCATATTGTTGTAAATTAACTAATGAGGTCGGAGAAGATACGAAATCGGCAAAGCTTGAAGTGCAAGACGTTGAATTACTTCGTGGTCCAAAAATAAGGAAACCACTATCTGATTTAGAAATAACAAAAGGCCAAAAAGTTACATGGTCAATAACGCTAATAGCTGATCCTGTTCCAGAAGTTGAATGGACTTGTAATGGAAAAGAAGTCAACGCTGACTTTACTGTTGATTCGACAGAAATTGCAAATGGCCTTAAAGAGTGTATATTTACGATGACTATTCCAACTTCTCAACTTGGTGATACCGGTGTTTATCGCGTGAAAGCGACTAATAAATTTGATTCAACTGAATGCAGTGCGCGTTTAGATATTGTTATGAAACCAGAAATTGAAGGATTCCATGACATTACTGTAGTACCGTCAATGGAAGCTGTATTCAATGCTATAATTAAAGCAGTACCTAAGCCCAAAATAATATGGACAGTTAATGGAAAAGATTTAGCCGAGCGAGAGCTTGTTAATCTTACAAGCGAAGAATTAGAAACAAATATAACAAAGTTCAAGATAATAATAGGAAATGTATTTCCAGAAGAAGAAGGTGAATACATGGTTAAAGCTTGGAATAAAGTTGGTGAAACTACTGCCGTTGCCAATCTCAAACTCCATAGTAAGTAAACATTTTATTCGATAAAATATATATATAAATATTAAATAATTAAAAATTTTAGCTGAAGCACCTTCGTTTGTTAAATTGATGGAAGATAAAACTATACAAGAGTATGAAGAAGTTCAATTGTCTGTTCGGGTCAATGGAATTCCAAAGCCTAAAATAACATGGTAATGTTCAATGAACTAAATAATTGATTATTAATAATGTTATTATAATTTAGGTTTAAAAACGGTGAAGTGGTTATACCTGACCTAAGGATCAGTATACATACGAATGATGAAGGTCAAGTTAAAAGTACTCTCACTATAGAACATTTCAGTGATTTAGACATAGCAAATGTAAGTTGGCGTTACATTTTTTTTAAATGGTTGCCTTTTAATATTATATATTTGTTATAGTTCTCAGTGAAAGCTGTTAATATGATTGGTGAAGCCGAAACGTCATCTAATTTAAAAATGGCAGAAATAATGCCATCATTTGTTAAACCTTTTGAACGAATAACAGAAGCTATTGAAGGATCACCAATTGAACTTCAAACAGAGCTTATTGGTAGTCCTCGTCCTCGTGTTGCATGGTATAAGGATGGTGAAGAAATTCGAAATGTAGAAGCAGACAATACGGATGATGAGCAACCACACATTACATTAGAAACAAATCCCAATGGATCTATATTAATGAAAATAGATAAAGTTGAACAAGGAGACTGCGGTGCTTATAAAGTTATAGCAACTAATAATTTCGGAACGAGCGCTACTAATACAGCTTTGGTAGTAAATGGTAAATATAAGCTCTCTATAAATATCTATTTTTAGACACTTATTCATTGGTTAGGTTAATGATAAAGTTCATAATAATCTTATAATTATTTGTCTACCTTATAAACCTTATAGTTAATCAATCCTTCTACAGAATTTCTTTTGTATATTTTTTCTGCTTAGTTATTTGAAAAATATTATATAAATACATAAATTATTATTTAAAAAGTTATTTTATAATAAATTATAAATATAATTCAATAAAGATTAATAATAATTTTTACTTAAAATCGAATATTTATAAATGTATTTAATTTTAATATATAATTCTATTTATTTTTTAGAATTACCGAAAAAGCCAATTATAATTAAACACCCAAAAAATATCGACATCAGTGAAGGTGAAATTTTAAAAATAGAGGCTCAATACACAGCGAATCCAGATGCTTCAATAAAATGGTACAAAGATGGACATGTATTGCATCCTTGTCCCCAGTTAGATTTTGTCATGGGTCCAAATGGCAACATAGCTTTAGTAATTGAAAAAGCTACACTAGAAGATGCTGGTGATTATGAAGTTGTTTTGTCGAATGAATTGGGTAAAGATTCTGCTCAAGCAGAAGTAAAGGTAAAACCAGCAGCTGCAGAACCTGCATTTATTACGCCTTTACGGGATGCTAAAGTTGTCGAAGGATTTCCCGCAAAGTTACAGTTTAAACTATCTGGTTTTCCAAATCCAGAAGTTGTATGGTAATTACAAAATTATTATATAATTATACTATATTATACTGTAACAGATAAATAATTTAATATTATATATTAATATATGTAAGGACGTTGAACGATAAACCATTAATCGTAGACGGGGAAAAGATTAAAATGGCACAAGGACCAGATGGCCTCCATTACTTATTAATTGAAAAAGCTGGCCCAGAACACGCAGGGAAACTAGTAGTCATTGCTACAAATGATAATGGAAAAACTACATCAGAAGCAAAACTTTCAGTGACTTGTAAGTAAACAGAAATTATCACTAAACATTTTTAACTATATGTCGTGTGTTCGCTAATTTGAACATAAAATTGTGTAGAACTCAGATTGTAGATTAAATTACTGTCTACAAAAAATGTTATTATAATATTTCTGGTTAATCTATTATTTTCTATGAAAATAACGTAACATAATCGTAAATTTGCTTTATTACCTTTTTCTGGAAAAAACGACGTTTTCAACGTTTTTTACAATATATTTCTTGTACATATATTGTCAATGTATTCTTAAATTTTTGCTGTTATGGTCACATATAAATGAAATAAAATAAATTGTCTATAAATTATATTCTACAGCTAGTTTAAAGTATTTTACATATTTTACATAAAAAAATATATAAGTATTTAAGTATACTAAATATTAACTTGATATTAAAAAATATCAATTAATTTTTATTAAATATTAATATGATTGAAATAAGACAATGGTTTAATGGAATAATAAAAAGTAAAAAACTGATACTTGTTACATTATAATAAAATTTCTATTAATTATGTATGAATTAATGTCTCTTTTTTACAAACAGGACCATTTTTTTTTTTTTTTTGTTATCATATACAACTTGTATGGAAACTGTATTTCGTCAGTATACTTGTATTAACTTGATATCTCTTTCTGCAACATCATTTATAGCCGATAACATTGTTAAAATATTAATTTATTTTTAATAGTCTTCTCTTTCTTTTCAACTATCCTGGTGGAAATTTATGAAGTCGGTTGAAATTTAAAACAGCAAATAAAATTTATCTTTTCTAGTGAAACAAATTCACGTAATTCTCTTTTAATAAATATTTTTATACTCTTTGTACTCAAAACAATTTTTTTATCAATTGTATCACATATTTCCTATGATGATATAAGCGCTTCAACCATTTTTATTTTTATTTCGTTTGACACCCGAAAATCAAAAAATTATAATGCCATATTTACGGGCGCAAGGTATTATAAATGACCACAACATTTATTTAAAGCAATTTTAGAAATAACTTTATCTGTGTATTAGGATTAATTTTTTTAAAAATATTAAATCATTATAAGGTGCTTCAATTGCAACAGTATATGAAAACCATGCTTCAACGTTTAATTTAGTATAATTTAACTATAAAAATAAATATATCTCGAAATGGTGTAAAAATAGCCAAAACAAAATCAAACATATAAAGATATTAATGATTTACTTTATGTTTTGGAGATAAATTAAAACCTTGAAATTATCGATTTTTCAGATAATTTATATTTTATATTATTTTTATAGAAAATAATAGATTAATCAGAAATGTTACAATAACATTTTTCGTATACAGTAGTTGAATCCACAAATTAGGTTCTATAAAATTTTATGTTTAATTCAATATATATTGAATTAAATTATAAAAACCTACAACTACCCTGTTTGACAATATTCAACCCACTCTTGGTACATGAAAAAGATTAGTTATCATGACCCAAATTTCTTTCTTTTAATAATGAACAAAATGAGGGCATAAGAATTCAAAAATATTAATTTTTTCAAAAATTAACTATGACTAAGAGCAAACTTAATGTGTATATGTTACGCCGAATTTATGAAATTGCCGATTTCATGAAATCAGCAACGTTGTCACCAAATACGTGAAATCGGCAACTCAAAGTACATAATACTGCCGATTGCGTGAAATCGGCAAGACTATTTTTAAAAAATTATAAAGCATAAATTAATGTACCTATTTAAATAAATGTGTAAATAATTAAATAATTGAATAAAAAAAATTGTAATAGGTACATTTAAACATTTTGGCAAGTATGGTCTGGGTGACACGCCGAATTACATATATTATAATTTTATTAAAGCAATAAAAATACCTCAATAACCAAGATAAAATAGTTTTCATATTATAAGGAATATTATTGTTAAACAGTAAAACCTCGATAAGACGAAATCGCTTGGAACCATGATATTTTTCCGTGTTAACGGGGTTAGTTAATTGTACGTAATTTGAAACGGGACCAAAAAAATATTCCGTCTTATCGAGGTTTTACTGTACCTACATTTTATTATTTTTTTCTAATATTCGATTAGTATCCGATTTTAACTTGTCGATTACAGTCGTCGCCTCGTTGTCTTGTTATAATGAATAATACCTATTATACTTAAATTTTATTATTTTGTTTGTAATATTTTCGAAATGACGAAAAATAAAACGTCCCCTGTGCTCGTTTGTACCTCCCAATCACTTCAGTGGATGTAGAGAGAAGTTTTTCCAAAAATAAATATTTATATACAGATAATCATCGTTCATTTACTTTTGATAATATCAAATACACAATTATTTTGATTTTTGAGTACCATAATTTGTAAGCTTTGATAAATTTATACACAATGTTACAACAAAATAGAGTAAAATATTTAAAAAAAAAGTATTTTTATTAATTTAAAATAAATATTTGTAATTATATCATTAATAAATTGATAAACATCAACTTCCGAGCACTATTTATAAGCCCCTATTTATAAGTATATCATAATAATGTATTATCGAATACGTGAAATCGGCAGAAAAAAGCTGCCTAATTCACGAAATTAGCAATCAAAATTTGCCCATTTCGTGAATTTGGTAGCCAAATTGCCGATTTCACGTATTCGGCGATAACGTTGCTCATTTCATGAAATCAGCAATTTTTCTGCTGATTTCATGAAATCGGCAATTTCATAAATTCGGCGTAACATATATATTATATTTATATAAAAATATACAGTTGATTTAATGTTACATTAACATGTTACGTTAACATGAATTTATAAAACGATATATTACAGCAAAAGTAAGTCCTGATGTTTCGGATGCTAAGCCTGTATTTCTTAATGGACTCAAAGATACAACAATAGAAGAAAGTAATCCATTTACATTATCAGCTCCATTCCTTGGAAATCCTATACCAGATGTCAAGTGGGAAAAAGATGGAAAAATATTACAGCCATGCAATAAAGTTCATTTTACCTGTGATGGTTATAAAGTTGGGCTTGAAGTTCTTGATACTAATACAGGTGATGCTGGAGAGTACAGTTGCACTCTAACAAATAAACTAGGATCCGCTGTATCAAATTGCCAAGTTGGTATTCGCAAACTTTATCAAGCTCCCGTGTTCACACAGCGTTTTTCTCATAATAAACAGGTATGATATGTTTAAACTGTATACTTAATGAATTAAGTACATAGCTGTCCCAAGGGGGAGGACAAATGGGACAAGTGTCCTAGAGCATATAAAGTATTATAAATTTAGGAGGCGTCATAAAAATTATTAATATTAAGAAAAACTTGATTTTTTATTTTAGATAGGTAAACATTAATTTTTCTTTTGTACTGAAATATCTGAAAACCTATAAAATTATACAATATATATCATTAAATACGAAATTATGTTAATAATGTGTTACATTATTAATGACTACATTTATGATATTTTTTAATATTATTTAGTGCTCTAATGTTTATTCTATACTTAATAGGTTTTTATACCACATTCAATTTAGTGAAAGAGCTCCAATAGCTTCATTGAATTATACATGAATTAATTAATATTACCGTATGACAGAATATTATTGCTAAATTAATAATGATAGTTTATTATCTCAATCTCAAATGACTGGAGGATTGTAAATAAAAATTGAATTAAATTTATTATCTTTTACTGACAGTTAATTTTATTTTTTGAATTATTATTTATAATATAATCTTATAAATTATTACATTTATTAAAAAACTAAAATGTGGAAATTTTTCAGTCTATATAAATAATATTTATGGTAAATTCTAAATAAAGCATTATACTATACGTATTAATCAATAATAGCACCAACATTTTAAAATACTTTAAATATGCCAAAAATATAAAAATAAAATTTATTTTTTGGAGTCACTGGTGCATAAGACAAATGTATATCTCACTTTGCTATTTTTATCTGTATCCCATAACAATTAACAAATGCTATGAAATCTGAACCCTTAACAATCTTAATTATTAATGAATATTATTACAATATTGCTCGAATGTATAATAAATATGTGTATATTATACTATAATCAATTCATTATCAATTTTACTAATTTCTAATAATAAATCGAGTTTGAGTGAATTTGGATAATACATTAAACAAACCTTACTTATCACAGCAATTTTATAAATGTTACTGCGAATGTCCACAATTGGTGAGTGCTGACAGTCACCGTTTAATGTCGTCATACACCAAAATCATTGATGAATGTTGGCGTATTGATTAAATTTGTATTATTTGTAAACATTTATTAGCGAATGTCGACATTTATATAACGATAATGGTGAATATTGGTAATGCCGATATTATTTTTATCTGATCTTATCTAATATTCTAGTACCTACCTATTACTAATATATAAAGCATCGGTTCTTAACCTTTGTGTAGTGGCGACCCAAGATATTTACCAAATTTTTACTGCGACCTTTTTATAAATAATATTCAATGGCAGAATAAAAAATAACTATTTGGTACTCTTAATTTAATAATATTTTTTACTCATATTACTTGTATTCATAAGAAGTCATAATATTAATTACATTATATTTAAAAATAAAAATTTCTTTTAATAATATTGTATTGTTTTTTAAATAATTTTTAATTTAATGATTTCCATGGTCTTGATGTTGCTTTACCAATGAATCAATTTAGAGTTTTTCTAGGAAGTTAGTAAGTGAAATACGCATCGTGGGTTCGACATCAAGCTTGTTTCTTGATTTGGTTTTGATTGTAGTTAATATATTTATTACAACATGTAAAAATATTAGTTAATGGCTTTTGCACACTCAAATTTAACTCATTTAATAACGAAAAAATATCTGATAGATACGCAACTTTTGTCAACCAAATTATATCTTGAAAATGGATGGATAACAGTAAATTTTTTTCTCTTAAAATACTTCTATTTCAGTTTTTATTTCAAAAAATCTCGTTAAAATTTTTCTCCATGATAACCAACGTACATGAGGTTTCATTTATTATTTATAAGACTTAAAAATAAAAATATTATACTAACGTTTTTAATTTTTATCCGACACATTTAAAATTATTGGCGACCCAAAATTGGGTCGCGACCCTATGGTTAAGAACCGCTGATATAAAGTATTGTACAAGTTGATAATTTCAATAAAATGTTTTATTAACTTACCCAGTGACTTATTATATCTGGATACCCACCATGTTATATATACTGTATGCTACCTCGCTAACATTTAGTATGATATTGTCATTCAATGTAGTTATAGTGTTATCCTAGTTTAGTGATTTGCATAGTAACCAAAAAAATTTTTAAAATAGAAAACTTACGTGAAGTATTTTATAATAAATTTAATAATGTAGTACTAAAAAGGTGATTTTTTTTTTTCTATCGGCTGAAAAATATAAATTTTTAATTAGTGAAGTGAACATTTGGAAAGATAAATTTAATAAACAACGTGTTGAGTGGAATTGGTTTATAATTAGGTCTAGACACGTTTAGGTTAAATTAATAAACAATATATATTATTTTTGATATATAATATATAATAATAATTATAATTTATATAATTATATGATATGTATAATTTATTATTATATTATAATATCATATAAACTGACTGGTGTATGTAGATTGAACCATCAAGTTTCTGATCGATTTCAATTCCAAGGAAGTGATCAAGTTTACTTTATTTTGTTTCGAAGTTATTGCTCAGGTATTTCATCATCATGTCCACCATTTCATCACTTGTTGCTGCTATGATCCCGTCATCTACAAAAATAACTACAATCAGAAATTGTTTATTATTATTACTCACAAATACACAAGGATCTGCTTTTGTCACTTCCAAGTCAAAATTGAATAGCATATTTTTAAATTTCTTATTCCAGCGTCTGGGTGCTTGTTTCAGTCCATACAGATTCTACTGGAGTTTGCAAACTCGAGTGCTTTCATCTTCATATCCTATGGGCTGTTTCATGTATATTTCTTCATCTAGGCCACCCGAGAGAAATGCTGTCTTTATGTCAAATTGTCTAAGAACTAGTCTCTTTGCTGCTGTTATAGCTAATATCATATGAATCGAATCATACTTAATCGCTGGGCTAAATTTTTCTTGGTAGTTTATTCCAAAAGCTTGTGCACAGCCTTTTACAACTAACCTAGCTTTAAATCGATCTATTTCTCCATTAGATTTATACTTAGTTTTATATATCCACCCATTATTTATTAATTTTTTTTTAATGGCATTTCCACTAACTTCTAAGTTAAATTTTTCTTAAATGATAATATTTCATCGTCCATTGCTACCTTCCAATCGTCTGCATTATTTCCTGTCATAGCTTCATCATATATAACTGGATCATTATAAACTGAAAAAAAATGCATCTGTATACCTAATAGGTTTATTGAGTTTTTCTCTATCCCTGAGTATCATCTGTTTTTGCTCTTCTACTTCCACTGGTATCTGTTCATCATCGTCCAATTTTTCTTCTTCGTCATTGTTATCTTCCTCACTTTCAGCTGCATTTTTTGAATTGATTTCTTCTTCCTTTATGATTTTTACTTCTGTAGCTATTGGTAGGTAATACTCTTTTTTGAATATTACATCTCTGCTTAATGAAATTTCTCTTCCATTAAAGCATATACGATATCCTTTCGTCTCTTCTGAGTATCCAATGAAAATACCTTTTCTACCCTTCTGATCCCATTTTCTTCGTTTTTTTTTTTTGTATATGTGCATAGATTTCGGTACCAAATATTTTCTGATGATTTACATCTGGTAATTCATTGAACCATAATTCATAAGGTGTTTTTCCTTCTTAGTCTGTGTTGCCCGAACGATTTATTGTATATACTGCTGTATTCACTGCTTCTGCCCAAAGTGTCTTAGAAAAATTTTTGCTGTATACCATAGTTCTGGCCGCTTCTACAATTGTTCGCATTGACCTTTCCGCTTTGCCATTTTGCTGAGGTGTGTATGGTATATTCGTCTTATGTTTTATTTCAAATTTATCCAATAAGAGTTTGACTTCAGTATTTTTATACTCAAGACCACAATCACTTCTTAAATTAATCACAGAAATATTTAACTGATTTTTGACTGTATTTACAAATAGTTCAAATTTATTTTTCATTTCAGACTTTTGTCTCAAAATACATACGTATAATTAGAAAAATCATCCTTGAATATAACAAAGTACCGTTTACCTCCAAGAAAATTTACCTGCATGGGTCCACATACATCACTGTGAATTAACTGACCTGGTTTTGTAGTTTTAATATGTAAATGGCTCTCTGCGTTGTTTGCCATAAACGCAAGTTTCCCAGAAAAATTTGTTTTTCGTTTTTGTAAATTAAATCCGCATACGTTTCAAGAAACTTCAAACATGTTGATTGTTCTGATGACTTAGCATTTCATGCCACTGTAGCAACGTGAGATTTTTAACTACAATGTTTGCCATCACTGATACGAACTGGTAATTGTACTTCAAATGATTCATTATTACTGAACCATTCTTTTCGGCTAGTCATGTGATCGCTTGCGCCTGAATCTACATACCATTTGTCTGACTTGCTAATTTCGATGACCTTTGATTGTACTCTGACCAAAGCATTATCTGAGTTTGATCCATTTTTATTCTTTTCATTTTTTTCTTTTATGAAAATCCTACAATCACGTTTCCAATGTCCTGGTTTTTTGCAATAATTACACTTGTCTGGTTTTTTATCATTATTCTGTTGGTTTTCAGAATTCCCAATATTCGTAATTTTTTCTTTATATGATACAAACGATTTCTTTGCAGAAAATTCACTACTACCTGCAATATCTCTCTGAGCTTCATGCCTTTGAATTTGCCTAGTTTCTTCCACCATGAGTCAAGATGAAAAATTAGCCAATGATTTGTCTATATTTGGTATCGAATCCATGCACGGTAGAAATGTTTGTAATTTTCTGGCAAGGTCGTCTATTTTTGTCATAAGCATTGAGTCTGAAATTGGTTCTTCGAGTTGTATTAATTTTCTGCTTAGTCTTTCCAATTTTGAAATATGACTTGCCATGTTGTCGTCTGGATTCATAACATAGCTGTAGAACTTTTGTTGAATTAGCGTTACACTCGACTCTGACTTCTATTCGTACATGTTAAGTAATTTATCCCACATTTCTTAAGCAGTGTCACAATTCATTATATATTGTAGGGATTGCTCATCTACTGACGTGACTATATACTTTTGAGCCTTATTGTTTCCTTTTTTGAATATTGAAAAAATCAACGCTATACCTCTTTCTTGCATCATCTATTCTTGTATATTGTCATGTTGCAATAAGTAAAACAATTTTCGCTATTTTTTTAAAATAATAATTTTTGTATGGCAAAATAATCATAATTTAAATTAATAATACAGATATAATAATAATTATAATTAATAAAAGTAATTTTTAATATTTATAATTAAACTTATAATTTTTATTTTATATTATTGTCTATAATACTATAATATAATATAATGTAATATAATGTAATACTATAATATAATGTGCGAATACGTAACCTATGTCAACATTAATCAAAACCGTGTTGTGTATGTCAACATTCAATAGTACATGTCTATAGATTTAAATTTTTCAACATTCACCAATTTGGTAAGTGTATGTCGACGTTCACTAGGTGATTATCAGCACTCACCAGTTGCGGGCTTTCGCAGTAATAAATACACAATACCTACTCTACTCAGAAACAAGGAACGTAATTTTGTTGAAAAGTTTTCAAAACTTAAATCAAGAAAAAATGCCTTTGCTTAATTTAAGGGAGTTTTATACATAATGTTCAAACGTTGGAATATTATATCTGTGTTCAGAGCCAGCGCTATGATTTGCGAGGCCCTGTACAAATTATAAACATGAGACCCCGGATCTAAATATACTACAAAATAAAAGCGCGAAGCCCTGTGCGATTGCACTTTCTGTATACCCCTTGCGCCGGCACTGTCTGTGTTGCAAAATTATAAGAACATAATTATTGATTATTATTATGTTGTTTTATAAATATAAAAGGTAATTGTTATATTTATCCTGAATGCTTTTGTAAATATATTATGCATAATTCATAATTATACGTAATTTATGAACATAAACATATTTTATAATTTTATTTATAATTTTGTGAATAAAAGTAATTTTTATATAATTTATAAAAAATTGGTGTTGTGGAGGGGGTGCCAAATATTGTTTCTCTAGGGGCGTTATTGATAGTTAGGACGGCACTGATAAAATATTTAATTCGTTGTTTTTTTTAGTTACTTTCAAGAGACGCTAAATTTCATGCCCGAGTTACCGGAGTTCCATCGCCAAGTATTGTATGGCATAAAAATGGCCATCAGCTAACGAATGGCACCAAGTACAAAATCAAGCGTGATGGCGAGATTTGTAGTATTACTGTATGTGATATCGATATTGATGACGCAGGATTATATAGCTGTATTGCTACTAACCGCGATGGAACAGCCACATGTGAAGCACAACTTGCCATAGCACCTCGAATGTAATATAAATATGTTTACAAACATATAAATATATATATATATCAACATAATGTATACATTTATAAATTATTTTAGTATTGATGAATCAAGAAAACAGGAGCCACCATCTTTTATGAAGAAAATCGGTGATTGTGAAGTATTTGACGGAATGACGGCTAAATTTACTGCATGTGCAACTGGATGGCCAGAACCAGAGTACGAATGGTTCTTGGATACAAATAGATTGTATGAAACCGAAAGAATCAGAATGGAAAAAGAAGATTCTGGATTATTAAGATTAAAAATATTACACGCTGATCCACTTATTGACTCTGGTCGGTATAAATTGCGTATTTATAATCCTCATGGAGAAGCATATTGTGAAGCGAGCATAATATTTGATAGTAAGTTATCAAAAAAAAATTTAAAAAAAAAGAGATACTTAATTAATTTGATTTTATTTCAGATGGTTTAGATTCACGATCAAAACGTCCAGTTGGGGAATTATACAAAGACTATGATCGTTATCGTGCAACTGGGGCACATCTACCACTACCTGATCCTCCTACAATAATCCGTATGACAGATAAGAGACTCACACTTTCGTGGAAACCGTCATTACCGATCACACCTAGAACTCCAGTTACGTACTTAGTAGAAATGGAAGAACAGCCAAAAGGAGAATGGTCTACAGTTAGAGCTGGTATTCGAGGTTGTGTTTGTGATGTACATAATTTAATACCATTTAGAGATTATAAATTCCGAGTAAGAGTAGAAAACAACTATGGAATAAGTGATCCCTCGCCATTCGTATTGACATACAGGTTAGATTGAGAATTTATATAATGCGAAACGTGTCTAAGATGGACTCTTAATAACACGAAAACCCGATTTAAAAAGAAAATAAATAATAATATCAATTTGTATTTTAGTAAAGAATAATTCTATTTTTTGTTTAAAACTATATATTTCTTTGTCTCGCATGTTTCCGTCGTTGACAGTTTTCGCTTTAATTTTATAGTTTAAAATTTTAATTTATAAATTATTATAAATTTTGTATTTCAGAGAAAGATTAGAGCCAGATCCTCCTAAATTTACTCCTTATCTACCTCCAGGGGTTGCTTTTAATCCAGAATTATCCCCTTATTTCCCTAAAGACTTTGATATTGAACGACCTCCTCATGATAACTACGCCCAAGCACCGAGGTAAAATTATTACATTACTACTCGTAATTGTTATTATTTAGTTATTACTAAAATAATATTTACAGATTCTTACATCAAGAACATGATACACAATATGGAGTTAAAGGTCACAATGTAAACTTATATTGGTTTGTCTATGGATATCCTAAACCTAAAATGCAATATTATTTCGAAAATGAATTAATAGAAATGGGTGGTCGCTATGATTCAAGTTATACACGAAATGGTCATGTTACATTATTTATAAATAAGTAAGTTTTCAATATAAAATATTATACAAAAAAATGTATTTATTATTTTTCATTTATGTTATTAAAGAATGTTAGATCGAGATGTTGGAAAATATGAAGCTGTCGCTACAAATGAACATGGAATAGCTAGGCAGAGAGTTCGATTACAAATTGCTGAGTATCCTAAATTCTTAAAAAGGCCTGAAGAAATATATGTAACTTTGCGTAAAAATTGTAAATTAGAAGCTAGAGTTATAGGTGTTCCATATCCAGAAATAAAATGGTTTAAAAACTGGAAACCATTGGTGGATTCAGCCAGAGTTAAAGTAAATCATTTTTAATCTTTATTAAAGCATATATTTATCGAACAATGTCCTTTATTATTAGATTGAACAGGTAGAACCTGACATTTGTATACTACGTATTGAAGATGTTATTATGAAAGATGAAGGCTTATATAGTATAAGTGCACGTAATTTAGCTGGATCAATATCTACATCAGTAGCTATACACGTTGAAGACCGAGAGTCTGACTATACAAATAATGGTAAAACGGATGTTAAATGGAAGAAAAAAGAATTGTCAGAATTATACGATATTGGAGACGAATTGGGACGTGGTACACAGGGTGTTGTATATCATGCTGTAGAAAGATCAACGGGCAAAAATTACGCTGCTAAAATTATGCATGCAAAAGGAGATCACTTGACAAGATTAATGGACAATGAGCTGAAAATAATGACTGATTTAAGTAATAGAAGAATTATTCGTATTCATGATGCTTTGCAGACTACTAGAACGTATACTTTAATAACGGAACTGTATCCTTTAATAGTAAAAATTATATTATTAGGTATAATACTATTACTAACAAATCTAGAGTTAATTGCATATTTAATTACAGAGTCCATGTGAAAATCGCAAAAATAAAATAGCGGAAATAAAAATCACGAAATCTTTTAACAGCGAATAAAAGAAATTATTTTCGTTAGTGGGTATACCTTTATAATATAATAATAATAATAGATAATCAATAATGTAATTTTGTACTATTGCGTCTTGGATCATATAATAAAGAAGCCGTGGTTAAACCTAACCGCTGTCAAGCTTTATATAATTATATATATATATATATATATATGTTACGCCAAAATCCGAAACATGGCTAAAATCCACATTATCCGGATATTGTACACTCTAGCCACACTGGTTGGATAAAGTAAACAATTAACATTTAAAATCATAGTTTTGTACACATTACCCGGTTAAAGCAACTTTAGCCATCGTGTTACGGTATATAAGTTAAAAATTAAATATTAATTAACTACATTTGATGCAATATTAAAATTATTTTTATCAGATATTATTAATACTATTCATTAGATAATGTTTTTTTTATTATTATTTATTTAAACACAGTAAACTTTGATGATATTTTGAATTGCATAGAACACCCGATACTTTGCATTTGCATTTATTTGTTTTGTAATTTGATTTACACGCACAACGCTGAGTTTAATTGTTAACTTATATCATTGATTATATATTATAATATTTGATATTATATTATCAATGCTTATATTAATTAATTTTATTGAAATAAAAAATAATTATGAATTTATTAATAATATTTTACATTAGCCATAATACGATAGCTAAAGTTACTTTAGCCGACAAATGTGTACAAAACTATGATTTTAAATGTTAATTGTTTACTTTATCCAACCAGTGTGGCTAGAGTGCACAATATCCGGATAATGTGCACTTTAACAATGTTTCGAACTTTAGCCGTAACATATATATATATATATATTGTGATCATAGCATAGTGTGATAATGTATTTTATATACTTACACAAGTTCAGGAAAAATATGAAATTTAAATTTTATTTTATATAGTATTTTGATTTTAATGTTATTTTAATGTTTATTATTATTTATTATAAAAATATATCCAGGTATACTTCTTACTTTTCGCTATTAATGTTTTCGCTGTTAAAATATTTCACCGTTTTATTTTTGCGATTTTTACTTACGTGATATTTTTTTCGTGATTTTAACTGGCACCTGTAATTACAATATTTTATTGTTTTCTCATGTTTTCATTGTATTTATGTGGTAAATAATTGCTACTATTATTCAAAATACATTTTATTCTGATTATTAATACAAAAATTTTGAATTAACAAATAATAAAAGTATTTTGTTCTGTATAATTTATATTGATCATGAGTTAAGATTCATAATAGTTATTGAATACATATATTTTTTAATTTTGAATTAGATTATTAGCCAATAACTTTTCTGCTTAACTAAATGGAAATGTACAATAAGATACTACATACCTATTAATTAATTTTCTTTTAACTTCATTCTCTCTATAATTTATTGTAGTGTCAAATCTGAATTTGAAATTCATTAAAAACTTAATTTATTACGTTTAACATTATATTCTTCCTAATACTATATCTTAATCTACATTACGTAGGATATCAAAATAAGATATTTGTAATTCCCTTAACTCAAAATATAGAGCTGGAGGTGGTGAGCTTTTGGATGTCTTAACCAAACATTCATTCCTCACAGAATATGATATATCATTGTATATTATTCAACTGTTAAAGGCTTTAAAACACATGCACGATTTTGAAATAGCCCATTTGGGTTTGACAGTAAGTATTTTATATATTAATATATATATATAACTGTAATTTATTAATTGTATCTCTAAACTTTTAGCCGGGAGATTTATTAATATCTCACCCAGGAGGAGATACATTAAAGTTATGTGACTTTGGACTTAGCAGGAAGATTAATAGAAGAAGATTAGAACCTGTTGACTACGGTATGCCGGAATTTATTTCACCTGAAATAGCAAGAGGAGAAGGAGTAGATCTTTCTTCCGATATATGGTCAGTCGGAGTGATAACTCATTTACTTTTAACCGGAGTGTCGTTATTCCGTTGTGTAAACGATGCTGATACATTGGATAAAGTGAAAAGTGGTTCTTACACACTTAGCACCAAAATTAGTGATTTAGCAAAAGACTTTATCTCAAAGTTATTAGTATTCAATCCTAATGATCGTCTGGATATAATAAATGCGCTACAACATCCTTGGCTACAACAAAGTGAAGAAATATCCACTGAAGCAAGTCGAATCAACACTGATTCTCTTCGAAATTATTACAACAACTTTAAGTATGATCTTTAGATCTTATAAATGGATATTTAATAATATTCTAATTATTTTTTCAGAGATTGGTATAGTAACGCATCTTGTAGAAATTGGTACAGACGCCGTCCATTATCTTCTGCATATACCCATCCAAGTAAAATGATATATCCACTTGGTTTAACTTGGACTCCTAGTCCTACTCCAGAACCAGAATCAAAGAAACCGGCAAAACATGTCCCATCATGGAAAGATAAACTCCCACCCAAAGAACCAATTGATACAGAAATAGGAATCATTAAATCAGAAAGTCATTATCAATATGGACCTGACACTTATTTATTACAACTAAGAGATACGAATTTCCCCGTACGTTTGAGGGAGTACATGAAAGTTGCCGGCAAAAGTTTAACACACAGAGGAGGAAGCGAATCACACATGGATTGGGAGGTACTCAAGATTAATACTTATTTGCAGTATATAATTTAATTTTATATTTTACATAGGCACCTGTTATTCGCGAAAGAAGAAAGTTTACTGATATTATGGACGAAGAAATTGAAGACGAACAAAAAGCACGAATCAGCAAATATGGTGCTGATATATACACATTGAGAAGATTAAAACAAGAAATAGGTTCCAGACCAACTGCACATGTAGAAGCCGAGGCAATTTTGGAATCAAGAATCGATGGACAACCGCCATTCTTCAGAGAAAAGCCACAAAAATTACCTGTTGAACCAGATAAGCCAGCTGATCTTATGTGTTTAGCAGTAGGAGTTCCGAAGCCATTAGTTCAATGGTTTAAGTAAGACTTTTAAAATTTTATTATTAAAAGAAATTAAGCTTATCATTTTTTATTGCTTATAGAAATGATATAGTTCTAACTGAAAGTCATAGAATAAAAATGTTAGAAGACAATGACGGGAGATCAATTCTTAGGTTAGACCCAGCAACAGAATTAGATCTAGGTATTTATAAAGTTGTAGCAAGAAATAAATTTGGACAAACAACTGCTCGAGCTCGGTTAGTTGAGAAATTATAATTTTTAATAAAAAACATTTATTAATAATTTTACTTATACTTAATTTTTCAAAAGACTCGTTTTAGCTCATCCTCCTGGGCCTATGGAAGCTCCAATAGTGCAAGAATATTCTGATACAGAAATTTTATTGCGATGGGATCATCCAAAATATGATGGAAATTCTCCAATTTTATGTTATCAATTGGAAATACGAGAAAATGGTAAGCTCTAGAGTTAATATACTTTACATATACATAATTTTTTCTATAGTAATACTTAATTTATTAAAAAAAATATTGTGATTCTCCGCTATATATTTTTTTTTGGTAAAAATATTTTCTAAAAAAATGAATTTAAATTTCTAGTTATTAATTCAATAATTATTTGTTAAAAAAAAATAACATTATGTGCTGTATAAGCATAGAGGTACAAATTAATTAATTTTTATATTAGATTAAATATACTTATACTACTTTAATATTGAATAATATAATAATAATCAATATGTTTGCATATGAACTAAATGTTTTAAATAATTTACAAAATTATATTGTACGTTTCAGAAAGCGAATGGGAATTGGTAGCAAAAAATATTGATCACGAATTTTGGCTTATGCAAAACCTTAGAGCTTACACAAATTACGAGTTCAGATTAACAGCAATGAATCGTATTGCATGGGGTCCAGTCGGACCAGCTTCAGCCGTTGTTCGAACACATTTTCCTGGTAGGATTATTAACTTAAATAAAGCTAATCATTCATAGTTCTTAAAATTAAATTAATCCATATTTATATTTAGATGCTCAAAAATTGAAAGTGCCATCGGCAATGTTAAATTTACAAATAATAACTGAAAGTGGCCGAGAAATAATTGGTGACGAACCTCGCAATAATTTAGATTATTCACTTGAATATAAACCAATAGAATGGGCTGAACAGCCACCTATTGAAAAATATCGGTTTATTTCTGAGATTGCTAGGTATGATTAATTAGCCTATCCATTTTAATATTCATGTACTAAATATATTTAGGATTGTATTTAAATAATTATATTTTATAATTTTATGGTTATATTTTTCAATGTATCTCACACAGAGGGCGATTCTCTGTCATTCTTAAAGGAATAAATACAACAAATGATTCAATTATAGTAGCAAAACTATTGGAGATAACACCTGACACCGAAAAACGGGTTACTCATGAATTTAATGTCCTTAAAACTTTAAAACACGAACGAATAGCATTCCTCATAGAAGCTTTTAAGTAAGTTACTATATTTATATATTAAAAATAAAATTATCATTTGAAATTCGTACTAAAAATGTAAATTTTAGATTTAATTTTTAACTTTATTTCAATAGTCTATGTAAAAAAATGTACAAATTATGTAGGTAGAAATTTATTATTTATTTAAATAAGCACGAATAACTAAATTAACATATAAAAATATAGTATTTTTCTATTTTAAATACTTTTTGGGACAAGGGAATATATTCATTTTTTATTATCTTATAATTTTTACATAATTATAAACGTATTCATTATAATAAAACCATAATTCCTCTTTTCCATTACGAAAAAATATAGAATAATATTTTTCATATAATATTTATTATAATTAGTAATAACGTGCTAATAATCATATTTTTGGAAAATATACTATAAAAAAAATGTATTTATTGATTTCAAAAAATAAAAAGTATACTTCAATTGAAACTATTTCTATATCTTAACCTACGAATAAAACTATGGCTCAGATATTATTTTTGGATATATTTTTTTTTGGTTAAATTTTTATGATAAAATCATAGAACTTATCTTGTTTTTAAATAATAGGTATTCCAATATAATAAATACTTTAATGGCTTAAATTATGACATATATATCATCAATTTTTAAGTCGTTAAAGAATTCTTAATTCTTCTTCTATATTATCTTATTCTTATATACAGATTTTTATGAACTTTTTGATTTAGGTTGGAAAATGCACCTGTTGCTGTTTTTATTCAAGAAAAATTGCAAGGAGCAGACATATTAACATACTTATCAACAAAAGAACAATATTCAGAACAAACCGTTGCCACTATCATCACTCAGGTATAAATTACTTTTTTATCGTTTATAAACTTATTATAAGCTGGTGTGTTGGTCATTAAAAGTAAAATATAGGGTGAAACTCCTAAGTCGGGTGAAACTCCACGGTCAGTTAAAGTATAGAAATGTGAGAATGTGAAAATTACTATTTTATTCTTAATTATTTGGGAAAATACGAAGAATACAAAAAAAGACCTTCTAAATTATTAACAAGGCAACATATTGTAATTTATATTCCTGACCTATAAAATGCATAAAACAGTATAACTGTTATAAAATCTGTTATAATTGGTAAAACTAATGTATGTATCAAAATTTAGAAGATAATAAAGTTTAAAATTAAAAATTGCATATGATAAATAGGTTAAAAATAATTAAATTATAAATAGGTAATAACTTTCGCTCCATTTCAAATTTTAAGCTATTTATTTTACTTATATTTTATTTTATCTTATATATTTATACCTAAAAATTATGTTTAGCTTAGTATAATATACTAATAACATTTGTACTGTTATGCACAAGTATACTTAATAAAATATTTTCATCTATGAACATTTTTGCGTTAAAAAAAATTAAGTGCATATTTTTTAAGCATATTTGTACTTTTTTAAGCGCATAGGTGCATGCATATTTAATACTTTTTAAGAGAATTTATTTCTGAGCCCTAATAATAATATAATACATAATTTCTACTATATAATTTAATATTCATAAGTTATTATTTATTGAAACTTTTGATAATATTTCATATCTAATAAAAAAAAACTGCTAATATATGTACCTAACCAAAATTTGATAGCATCATCATAAGATATATATTGGTATCACACATTTTCAAAGCACATGGTCTAGTAAAATACACGTCACGGTGTAATGTGAACCCGGCTTAATACTATATAGCCGTGGCCACTATTCAGTGGTTACTGGTTGGCTTTATTATTATTTATTACTTTAATCTAAGTTTATACATTGTTATTTATGAAACGTTCCAGCCAAAGATTGACGTTTTATATCCATGTGTTCACACAATTATTGTCTATATTATTATTATATGAGTATAATATTAGCTATTAGGTATACGTATATTAAATTTCGGGCGTAAGCATTTGGCAACGGGTATCGCCCAGTCGTCGATTATCTAGAAAAAAAAAAGTTAATCGTTATAAAATTGAATGGAACGTGCATACGGTAATATTGAGTGTTTATTATTCCTTGTTTCACTACCCACAAAATTATTATTTTCAAAATTATTTAAATGGTTTATCTTAGATAACTATTTTATTTAAAAAGATGGATAAAAAGATACTTCAAATTATTATTATAAAGATAAGATAAAAATATTAATGTTTTTATTTAGATAAATCATCTAGATAATTATTTCGTGATAAATATACACGTAATAAACACTTCAAAAATATAATCTTAAATAGGTAAAGAATAAGAATAAGAATAAGAACTTTGTATAGTTCTAGGTATAAACATAATGAGAATGGATCCTTGATTATTTATAAACAAAGTAGATAGGTACTACAAATAATTTATGCTAAATAAAACTATTTAATATTGGAACCTAAAAGAACCCTTATAATTTAAAAATTCCGATTCGGTTCCGGTACTTCATTTATCAAAATAAATGTTTCGGTTCCTATTATTTAAAAGGTTCCGGCTCCAGAACCGATTCTTTTCGGTTCGGTTCCTGTCTTGGCTCTAACATAATCATTTCAACGACTTTGGTATAACATTTACACAATTAATAATTATACTAATGTATATTGAATTTTTCATACCATATAGGTATTAGATGCATTGCAATACTTACACTGGCGAGGATATGCTCATTTAGATTTACAACCAGATAATATAGTTATGGCTTCGGTGCGAACTATACAAGTAAAATTGATTGATTTTGGGTGCGCACAAAAAGTCAGTAAACTCGGAGCAGTTGTTGGAGCAAACAGCGTGTTGGAGTTCACAGGTATATATGAAAATTTGATAGTGAAAAAACATATTTGCAGATTTCTAAATTATATGATTATATATTTATTGGTATTGGTTGTTCACAGCCCCTGAAATTTTGTGCGACGAACCTGCGTATCCGTACTCAGATATTTGGTCACTCGGAGTAATAGCGTACACGTTGCTATCTGGAATGTCACCATTCAGTGGATCCAATGATACAGAAACAAGACAGAACATCACATTTGTCCGATATAGATTTGAATACTTGTACAAAGACCTATCACAGGAAGCAACAAGATTTTTAATGTTATTGTTTAAAAGAACGCCAACGTAAGTGAATTAATTCAAAACAAAACTAACAACTGACAATTATTATTAACTTTAACTACTAAGTAATAATATGTGTTATAGCAAACGGCCGTCAGCAGAAGAATGCCATGAACACAGATGGCTATTACCAACGGAATATATGATTAAAAAAAGAGATAAGACAATGTTTAATTCATATAAATTACAGGTAAAATTTTGGTTTTGAATATAACGTTATATTCCATTTTTTTTTTTTTTTTTATTAGTTACTATCAATTAATTAATTACCTAAGGTAATTAGGTAATTGTTTAATAGTTAATTGTTTGACATCAAAGCCATTGATTTAAATATTACTTATATGGCTACCTTCATTAAAAATTTTAAAATTAAACAAGGTTACATAAAATTAAATGTACATGTAAAATAATTAAAAACCTAGTGTTAATTATTTTGTTAATTACAAAATTATTTGTGACTCATTTGGTTTCTATTCTTTTTAGCATTTCGCCAAGGAGTACCATGAAAACAGAACCAAGGTAACAACTTCGTCACAAAAATTGCTAAGCGCCTTAGGAACAAGGCAAATTGGACTTGGTCGGTCAAACAGTGTAGTCGATGAACTACTTATCTTCAAATAAATATAGCAGAAAATATGATTTTACCAAATTAATCTATGATTAATATTAAATCTGTTATTATATTAGAAACAATACAATGTTATTACTTATTACCAATGTAATTGTACATGTTTTATTGATTAAATTATTGTTGATTTAAAATGTATTCGGAGTAACTTATAGTTTCGCATGAACACTAACGTTTGACACGGATAATCATGTAAATCAGTAATCATAAAAAAATGCATATATAATGAAAATAACACTTTTTTTTATATATTTTATATTTTAATTTTTTATTTTAAAATTAATATTTATAATTTGTATACATTTAGTTTATATAATAAGTAAATTTTAAAGGCTTATAGTAGACAAAAAAACAAAGACATGTGGACTTGAAAGAAGGAGGCGTCCATAGACACCACTTCAAATTTCCCATTAAGTTAATTGTTTAATAAATCTCTAGACCAGCGTCGATTTAATCGACGTCGTGGATTAATTGGGTTAGTAAAAGAATGGAAATTAAAGATAAGTGGACTTTGATAGTTAGTTGTGGCTGTGTGTAGTTTTTTGTAAGATTGAGAGTCTAAATCAAGGAGAGTTTTGAATTTTTAGGTCAATATGAAGGAACTGATTGCTGACGAACCAAGGAGCGCCTGTGATGATGAGTAAGTTTATAGATTGGAAGAATTGGATTATGTTAATATTTGATTTTTTTTTCTACTCCCCAGATTTGGATAGTAAGTCAGAGGTTCCCAACCTTTTTTGACTCACGGCATCCTTTATTATTTTCTAAAAATTTGGATGTACGCTATAGCCTATGCTCTATATTCTATAGTTTATACTGAATACACAATAGTAATATATCATATATTTAAGTATTTCACCGTAAATAACTTTAAAACAGTTCACATCAAATCGATAGCAATCGAACCAGTATGAAAATTAAAATAGATTGAACATCTCAGTATTACTATGTAAAAATTATATGTGTTATACAATTAATACATTATATTATATTATATATACCTAATTAATTATACACAATAGGTTTTATACTATAGACATAGAGTATAGTCTGTTTTATTACTCACAGTGCTATATTTTTCATGAAGGCGTTTAAAAAAAAATATATATATTTCAAATATTTTTACGGCACCCTAAATTTCAGTTCACGGTACCCTAGAGTGCCGCGGCACCCTGGTTGGGAACCTCTGCCGTAAGTCATGGCTGATCTTATAACTTGCTTGTATATTAGAATTTTGGTTCTCAGAGGAAGTTTGGAACGTAATAGGTTTCTTAGAGAATGAAGACGTAAATTTATAGATTTACGTTTAGTTTTAATATGGTTTGTCCAATTGAGTTTTTTGTCAAGATAGATACCTAGGTATTTAAAATTGTCTTGTTGAGGGATTATGTTATTGTTGATGGATAGGGGATGACTCTTAATAGAGCGTAGAGTGAAGGTTATGTGGCCAGGTTGTTGGCGAATAAATATAAATATAATAGTAAATCTGCGGAAATTTTTGAATGTTCGACCTTCGACGAAAAGATAACTTATCTTAGGTAAGATTACTGTCAATCCGTTGGCTGGTACTCAATTGGTTCCCGAGCTCCAACCCTACGTGCCGAATTGGTTCTCGTCTGAAAAAAGGTATTTTATTAGGTTTAGCCGAATTTGTTTCCGTTTAACTACGCATATTTTCCTTCTCAATTTTACAGGCTTAGGACTGTCAACTTTAAAGTAGACTTGGTTAATATGCGTTAAGGTATGTTAAAAAAAAAAATGATAAAAATATACAATTTTAAATTGTTGATTTGGAAGTCAACTAATCATCACTTTGGTGTACGAAATACAAAAAATAAAATATAATAAATACATTTTAAAATCACTGATTTGCAAATTTGAAGCTAACTTTCCTTAAATACTCAATTCTCGTAATCTTCTCTTTAATGTACTCAGTCATACAATTTTCCAAGTATTTGTTATTTCTTTCCTATTTGCTATATATTATATGTCATACATATAGCTTTTAAAATTTTGTTTTTGCTCTCAATGCACTGGCTTGCCTAACCTATACACAAATGGGAACCAATTCAGCTATACCTAATAAAATACCTTTTTTCAAACGGGAACCAATTAGGTTACTCCCAATCCGTTACCCGTATGTTTATATAATATTATACCATATACTTGCTATAGCATCGCTAATCGCTAATTTAGATTCTAATAACATGTTATAAAATACTATACATGCGATCATTCTCTACTCTCAGGCGTTTTAAGGCTTAAGATTTCATGGCTTCGTTTAAACATGGGAAAGGAACGCTTTGTTCAGTATTCACAAGAATATACACATAAATGTTAATAATATTATTTCTAAATTTGGAAAAATAAAACAAAGAAGATTCAACTTTGTTATTTAATTTTAAAAATCAAAAATTTCATACATTCATAACATTCTAATTTGAATTAATAATTTACTCTTATTATTTTGTAATTGTGTATTATCTTTTTGTACTTTCAAAAAAATGACCCCTCCCCCAATTTGAATTCTAGATCCGCACCTGGACTTAAAACCAATTAATATTGTTTAACAAAACACCAAAATAATTAATAAAAATGTTTCAAATTTTAGCAGAAACTCAACTTAGTAACTATTTAAGTAATAATATAAATTAGATAATGTAGACAATTTTAACAGTTTTTATTTAGAGGCCGATATATTTTTAAAAATACTTCTCTTCAAGGGGTTTCAACGTAGAGCTATCCTTCTTCCACCATTATTTAGTTCTGGTTTCTGGATTTCTAATGCAAATCATTTTTCAACCCATCATAAATTACTCCTAACTGAAAAAATCTCTGTTTTTTATGTTAACTACCATTATTTATACTACCTAACGAAAAATTTTATTAACTAAACAACTTTCTCAGAATCGTTATTTTCGAAGACAATGGTTTATAATTGTTTTCAAATTTAGTTTAATTCAAATCGGTTATCAATCTTAAACTGTTATTCACTTGACACTTACCCCACTGCTCGCTTTTTTTTTTGAATTTCATTATGGTTTCAAATTTTATACAGAAAACGCAAACAAACAATCACAAGTATTAGAAATAATTCCCATTCATTCATCTACACTACACATAACAAACAGAAATAATAAAGACAGTAAAGATAGACTTTAAAGATAGTATTTATTTAACTGAACAATTTATTCCCAAAAACGATTTTGTATTCCCTAAAACAAATGGAAGATCATGTCAGTTAAAATGGTTCAATTTGTTTAGCTGACTACATTATGTGAAAGAAAAATATATTGTTTTATGTTATCCGTGTGCTTTGGCCAGTCAATCTAAAAAAATAAAAATAAAAATGCATGGACAAGAATCGTTTATTGATACTGGGTTTTAAAATTAGAAAAAAGGCACTGAGCTGTTTTCTATACACGAAAAAAGTGAAAACCATAGAGCATCAATAGAATATTTAAATTTTCGTAAAAATTCTCGTCCTGTTATATCTTTTATTACTGAACAGCCTTAAAATGAACAAAAAGAAGCTCGTACAGTATTTAAAATTGTTATAAGCTTTATTCGTTACTTAGCTCGTAGTGGTCAAGCTATTCATGGTGGTACATGGGACACTGTAAACTTAATTTATTTATTACAAGAACGTTCACTTGAAAATCCTGCATTAAAAATTTTTGGATTGATAAACGAAACAGTTGGTTAAGTAGGGATATTCAAAATTAGTTACTTGAAACTATGGCGCATTTTTTTTTAGGAAAGATTAAAAATTCAATTTAAAAAGTCCATTTATTGCCATAATAGCAGATAGCACTACAGATATTTTTGGTCAGAAACAGTTTAACATTTGTTTTTGTTTTTTCAATACAATTTCTTTAAATGTTAACGAAATTTTTGTGGATATGTTGAATCCTCCAAGTGGAAATGCCGAAACATTATTTTCTTGCATCAATGATTTATTAACACGTATGTGTCTTAATTTTGAAAATGTTAGAGGACTTTGTTTCGACGGTGCGGCAACTACATCTGGTCATATAAGTGGAGTACAAAAGCGAATTTCTGATGTACAACCTAAATCTATATTTATTCATTGTTCAAATCATTCATTGGACTTTGCATTGAGTGATACTATTAAAACTGTAGATTTTACTAATGATGCTCTAAATTTAATCAGATTTGTAAGCAATACAATAATGGATTTAGCAAAACGTAAAAACATATTTTCTTGTATTGTTCTTTCGATTAATTTAGATGAAGAAAATTACTATAAAACTGAAAATATACCAGGCATCATTCCTTTTTGTCCTACAAGATAGACAAGCCGATTAAAAGCAGTTAATAGATTTATACAAAATTATGAAAGAGTTCTTTTAACAGTACAAGAAATTTTAAAAAATTCAAATTCAATTAGTAAAGATAGACGTACAGCTCTCCGTGGATATTTTGGAACGAAACTTTGGAAGTTTGAAACTGTTTTTGCTCTGGAATCTTTGTCTTTAATTTTGGGTCCATGTGAGCAGTTGGCTAAAGCTCTGCAAAATATATCATACACTGCTATTGGAGCCAAACATTCATCAGAATTGTTAATAAAAACTCTTACATTGTTACGTAATAATGATTTTTTCAATGATACTTGGAATAAAACCAAACAATTGGCCGTACATCTTAATCTTACAATGTCACAAAATCCTAGAGTTTGTAAGCCCCCTGTCAAGCTTGAGTATTATAATAATAATAATATTTCTTTATTACGGAAATAAATTCCAATTACAGTTTTTTTTTTTTTTCATATAATGTATATAAAATATATTGTACACGTATTAACAGTAAATGAATTATATATAACAATAATTTTAATAACAATAATAATAATAATAATAATAATAATAAAAATAACTTAAAATTTAAAGAGCAAATAGGTATTAATATCATACAATAAATATTTAAATTTCTATACTAAAAAAAAAACAATGGAATAAAAACGAGATATTAATTTTATTTCTAGTACCTAATTTGTTATGTATTTCTTAGAACATTTGACATAAAAGTATTTAGAGAATTACCAAAAAATCAATATTTTTTATAGAGTTGCCTGTGGACATTAAAATATTGGATGGAGAATTTCGCATATAGTTTGTAGTTGAATGTTTTATGTAGAATAAATTTACAGATCAGTGGTTTGTTGAATTTATTTTAAAATTTATATTTTGCAGTAATTCCGGACAATCAATCATATTATTTAATAATTTGAATAAA